GATTGTAAACTAAGATCATTGAGGTAATCTAAGTATATTGGTGGTTTGCTGTTATAATAATTTAAAGAATTCATATAATCTTCATCGTAAATTAAATGATATCTTATAATGGATGAGGTATTATTTTTCTCCCTGAGAATAAAATTTAATGAGTGTTGAACAAGCTCATTTTCAATATTATTTATTCCACTTTCCTCATAGATTAATTTGTTTGGATAGTATTTTACACTATCCGGTCTTCGGTAGAGCCCAGTACAAGCTCGTAAAATTTTTTTTTCCAGTAGGGCTATTACAATCGTTGAATTCTTTATGAGTAACATTTATGAAAATGTTGATAAAGTAAACACAAACTTATCGTCAATTTAAGTTCGTAGATTGATTTATTTATTTGGAAAAGTTGTTTGAACTACTTTTAATATGCATTTCAAATCAGCTACTGTTCCGTACAAATGGAAATGCCTTATTCACTCAACATTTATAAAAAAAACGAATCATTTTCATAATATTTTTTAATTTGAATTGATTGAAAATTATTTCGATTTTTAGTATTTTACTAAATTTGAATGAAACATTTTTTTTTTTTAAATACTAACTAAGTGGTGAGTAATACGAAGAAGTTTTTCTGTGAGCAAAAGCTGCATAAATATAACAAAAAATTGTTTGGTTGTTACTAGGGTTGTTATCAAAAGAGCTCATCACATAAAATCAATAATTTGTTGCGTATTTTTGCTATCTAACCCGTCTCAAGGTCATTTAATAAAAACAAGACGGTCAAAAAATCTGAAAAATAAAATGTCAAATATTAGTCAAAGTGGAGGTTTCATCGAGTTGAATCTATCTACCATTAACTGAGTACGTGACTCGTTCATATCAATTCAAAAGAATAAGAACAATTTTTAATTTCTGTATTTACGTAAATTCGTGCCTTAGACGAATAAAAATCCACCCAATTTGTATTTTATTCAACTGTTTAGTTTAAGTACTAAATTCTTCAAAATCTCGCCTTCATATTGTAGATTAAAAAGTGTGTATTCTCGAAACTTTTTATTTACTTCTGCACGTCTATAGGCACTGCATTCCATCTGTGTTGAAATCAAAATACAGAATGCTTTAAATGAACATTAATTTATTTTTCCCAATTTTGCTATTCTATTGAAAACAGAGCATATACTAAGCATAGATATATATCCTGGATATTTTGTCAGTATCTGATATTCATTGGAGCCAGACTTTGAAATAGAGTAAAAACAATAGAAGTTATTGTTATAGTGATTGTAGTAATCACAGCAATGAAATCCCTACTACCGTGCTAGATGGTGTCGACACGAGTGGACGGATTTTTAAATTTATTTGAACGACGCCATGATACGATACTTGTCCATTACAACGTACATGTTACAGAAGAAACACACAGTCCATGTCCACGCTAGTGGACTTAAACGATTTGAACCGTCAATGTGAACTAGATCAAGTATAGAACTTTACATAGGATCATATACGATGAATATGGATTACACAGTCTGTTTCAAAATACCGTCACCAATGTCGACACCATTTGACATCAAAATTTTGACAGTTAAAATATGTGTTATTGTTGTTGTCGTTTCATTGCTGTGTAGTAATGTAAATGGTTTTATACTTAGACCTATAACAATCACTTCTATTGTTTTCACTCCATTATAATGTCTGGCTGCGATAAATATCGGATACTCACAAAATATCCAGGATATATATCTATGCTCAGTATATGCTCTGATTGAAAATGATATACGTACACATGTTTAATATTTTACAAACTAATAATCCATAAGAGCAAAGATAAAATAATAACAACAATAGATAAAGGCATTTAAACAGAATTTCCACTTTTAAAGACATTGTTATCATTTTAAATTCGAATTTCTTTTTTGAAATTGACAATTTGCGGTTTTACACTTAATCAAGTGCACTTGTTCACATGCTATAAATGACTTCAACAAAAACAAGTTTTAAGCGGCACTGAATATTATCATATGTTCATATGAATATCTTTCATATATATTTGGAATTTATTCAACAAATTATTTCAAAATTATGACCAGAATCTGTAATTATTTTAATACTATATTATTTCAAAAATGTTGAAAGTCAAAAGCATGTCCATGATAATTTAAATAGCAGAATTATATATTTTCGGTTTTTCATTGTTTGGATGAACGGATATTTTTAAGTAAAATACGATAAAAATTAATTTAAAGAAGATAGTGAGTCTCTTATCAAACTCAAATGAATATTTCAATGCAAATTAACGTAAGCAAACATAAAGATTATCGTATGGTGATGATTTAATAAGCGGCAGCTGACACAGCCCCACCATCGCACTTCAATAGTGTTCCCGTTATAAATTCAGCCCGTTCACTTGCCAAGAATGCGATACATCTAGAAATATCAGAGACACGACCGATTCTGCCAACCGGATACTTTTTGCCATTTTCTTCAATAAACGTTTTTATCTCATCCGGTGACATTCCCACCGTCTCAAAAATGGGAGTTTCAATTAAACCTGGTGTTAAGTATTGAGAAATACGTTTGAATAGTTTGATAGTTAGTAAAAGATTGACAATTTATTATATGACATTATATAAATAGATATCTAAACTAGACAATATTAAATACAAATGCTACTTAATACCTGGATTAACCGAATTCACTCTAATATGTTTTCGGCCAAATTCATTTGCTGCACACTGAGTAAATTGATCCAAAGCGGCTTTTGACATTGAATAGAATGTTGACGAATAAACGGGCACCATACCGCAAATGCTAGATACATTAACGATATTTCCATTCGTCTTTTCAAGATGTGGCACACACAATTTTGTCAAAGTTATAACACTTTTTACATTTGTATCAAAAATTTGCTCATATTGCAACGTGGTAGCATCCATAATTGGTATTTCGATATTGATTCCGGCATTGTTCACCAATACATCCAACTTACCATAATGTGATATGGTTTCGTCGACGATTCGTTGACAATCTTTCGTTACATCGGCAACGATTGCATGGGGCGTTGGAGATCCAGCTTTGATAATATCAGCGACCACATTATTCAATCGTTCTTGATTACGACCGACTAGTACGACTCGACCGCCCATACTAAAATTAAATTTTACGATAAAACAGCATATTTTCTGTAAATAATGAAAATCACCTCGATAGAAGACGTGCCGTTTCCGCACCAATGCCACTGCTCGCTCCACTGATAATGATAACTTTATCGTTAAACTCCATACTTTCACAATTCTCTTCTCCCACAATTATTGTATTAAACTAATTTATTTACGAAGCAACAATCGAAAAAATTTAACGAAAAATGTTCCTTTTATCACAATCAATGTGGAATTATACATATGGTTGATGATAAAATGCGCACTTGCGAACTTTGTATGTCGATGTGAAACGGTTAAATTTGATACTAAATAAAATGAAGCTTATTAATTATCTTGGACTGGTATTTTGTTGTGTGCAACAGTAACCAGAGCTGTTATAAGCACCCGCAAAGTTCGGACACGTACTTGTATGCATGTACTCAAATGTACTCCAGTTTCATTCAAATTTGAAGTGGGGCAGTTAAATCATTCAAAAATAAAATTTAATTTTCTTCAGATGATTTTGACATCCAGTCGCAAGCAATAAAATTCTCATTGATGGAGTGACGTGTGAGCTTGAAAATAACATGAGTAGCATTCGTTGTGAACGTATACTAGTACGTTCTCGAACTTCACTAGTGTCTATAACAGCACTGACAATATCTGGTTTTATTTCACATAAAAAACAAGTTACATGCATAATTCTGTGCATATGCCAAAGTGACTTTTAGCTGCGTATCTTAAAATAATATATATTTTACGAACATACGCAAAAAATATTTGTGTGTCACAGTCATTACAATCATGAACGAAACAAATAATTAAGAGTTGGAACTTATAAATCGCAAATCGCAACCGGAATGTAAATTTTCATATTGCTCAAACTGCTCATTCTTAAATCTTCAATACAATTCGCAGATTTCATTATCAACTATACAATTATACATATACATGTGGAATCAATTTATCTTTTTTCCGTTAGCGATATATTGGACGAGTTGAAAACTGGTGCAAGCTATAGTTTGACATTGTTGATGAAGTACAATTTTTAATTGTGGCTTCCAGCTATAAGCAGAAAAATTGTCATATAAGAAATATGAATAAATACTCTTAAATATGAATAAATACGAACAAATTCGGGGGATTTCAACAAATTCAAGAGATGTTAACACAACTTTACGTTTTTTGGGAGATATTTTGAGATTTTCTGAACTGTAATACCGACAATGTTGAACTTGACAAGAACATGGAATGAAGAAGTGGTGAATTATTATGACAGCTTCTATATATTAAAAAATATATTGATTTGTTCTGATTAACTATTTGTTCAATCTCTTTTATACTTTGTTCATTTAAATTACTTAATGACGCTCTATCGATTGCACAGACAGCTAAAATATCTTTAATAATTTTTGGAATTTTATATTCGTAGAAGTTTTGATACTCACGCCAGAACCGTTCCATTGCAAATGGCACAATTCAATTTTGCTTTGTAATGCAAAAACTTACACACATGTAACAAACAACTACCATGACAGCTTAGAAGCTGTCACAATAATTCACCTATTATAAATAGGTCTGCAGCGCCAAAAATTCACCACCATTCATTATTATCTCATATTCGCCCATATTCTAAGAATGTCAAAATATTCGACAAAATTTGAAGTATCCTACATGGTGGATATCGGTGAATACTTACGGATATTGTCAGATACGGTGAGATATTTGAATTTTTATGGGATTTTAAGAATGAAGTTAAATTTTGGTACATAAATACGCGCGAAATTGATTATGCTTACATACAATAAAAAAGCCAATTTTGTTTGTTTGAAATTTATTTATTATTCAACACATTTTTCAATATGACTCTCATTCACCAATTGTAGGCTGAAAATCATATCATAGTTCATAGGTGATGACGAGGGTTCCTAGGGTTCGGATTACTCTCTAAAATATTTTTAGGAACCCTCAACAATTTTGGAAATGAGGACCTTTTTTTGCTCTTCACTTTTTTTGGCCGAGAAAATTCTTTCGATTTGCTAGGTTTTTGGAAAAAAAGGGAAGAGCAAAAAAAAAAACGATTTTATCCTCATTTCCGACAAATTGTTGACATCGTCAGTTCCCCCTACGGAATTTCGCCATCACCCCCCCTCCTAAAAAATTTTACGTCATCATCTATGTCATAGTTCATATTCTAAAAGTTTTCATTTGTTCCAAGTAAACAGCCACCATCGACGGGAAGACATGTTCCATTTATGAACGACTCTGAAGCCAAGTAAGCGATAGCAGATGAAGTATCGCTTACTTCACCAACTCTTTTGACTAAATAAATTTTCGCTTGATCTTCGTAAAATTGAGCTTCATTCGATTTGTCAATTCCAATCGCTGCAAAAAGCGGAGTTCTGATAGTGGCCGGGTTCACACTGTTAACTCTGATATTCTTCGAAGCTAAATCTAGAGCTGCACACTTGGTAAACTGATTCAATGAAACATTTTTTTTAGAAATTGCTTACATTTTTATTGACATCTAATTTAAATTACCTGATCAAGACCACTCTTTGAAATGCAATATGTCATGAAAGAACCAAATGCTTTTAATCCAGCCACACTGGACACGTTCACGACATTGCCTTTAGTTTTTTCAAGATGCGGAATGGCCAAATTAGTTATCACGATCACGCTTTTTAAATTGGTATTCAACATACGATCAAATCCATTTACATCAAATCCAGTTACAGTGTCTGAACCAAAAATTCCGGCATTATTCACCAAAACGTCCAATTTACCGAAATGTTTGATTGTTTCATTAATAATGCGTTCAGCATCTTTGGTCACATCGGCTACGATCGCAAGCGGCGTTGGATGACCAGCTTTGCTAATTTCTTTAGCGACTTCATTTAATCGCTTCTCATTTCTGCCAACAATTGAAACACTTGCACCTTTGCTTGCTAAATGATGAGCTGCATCCGCACCAATTCCAGAACTTGCACCGGTTATAAGAACTACTTTACCACTGAAACTCATTCTAACGCCACTTTATTTAAATACAATATTCTGTATATTTAAATTATAGACCAAACTTTGCGGATGAATCCAACTTGAATGTAGTATGACTACTGCGATTTGACAGACTACGCTCAGATTTATATCGATCTTATTTATTACGTGTTATTGTTACAAATTAATTGGCACACACACAGGCATTAGGTTACATTCAGTTTGATATAAATGTATTGGCTTCTTGATCATTGCACTATTAGGCGCAAATACGCATGGGAAATATTCTTCTATGCGGAATATCGTATAGAAGTGTGCATGTATTTCTTAGTGTGTACTTATCATCACGGTCAATTATTCGTCTATTATATCGATACTTAACATTCATTGTGTTGACATTTTCTATCTTTAATTAATCGTTAAAAGAGTCACTTCAAAATTTAATGAATCTTATAATTGAGAGCCCGAGACCCAAAACATGTTGAATAATTTCTTTTCGGAAAAACAGCATAAGAAAAAAAATATTGAGCGGAACATAGAAAACTTAGAGTAAAAACGACACATATCGCTCGTCTGTTTTGTCGCTATCTGAATATCCTGCAGACATTATAATGAGATATTTTCAGCCAGATGAATCAGCTCAGCCAGATATCGTCAATAGCTGAAATTTAGTGAAAACAATAGGAGTGATTGTTATGGTTATAATTACACTTACATTGCTACAATCACTATAACAATCACTATCATTGTTTTCACTCCATTTCAGCTCCTGACGTTATCTGGCTGAGCTGATTCATCTGGCTGAAAATATAACGTTATAATGTCTGATATTCTGTTTTATTTCTGAGGACTACATGTGATCTTTTTACTCGGTCTTTTCATTAAAAAAAAAAAATCTTATGCTCCTTTTCCGAAAAGAATTTTTTAACTTGTTTTTGGTCTCAGGTTCTCAATACTCAATTGTAATTGTTTGGATTTCTAGTTGGACTTCGTTTTATTGTTAAACAACACTTATGCATTTTACGAAATAATCATATTGTACTCTGTATTTGAACTTCCTATTTTTTTTATTATGAAATAAATGTAATTATCGATTTTTTACGTCAATTTCTAGTAGGTTGATTGTAATTTTCAAATGTTTCAACTTCTGGAAATGAACGTTTTATTTTAAATGTTATCGAAGAGTTAAAAGATTCATTGTATAAAAGAACGACAATATACTAAAAGAAATAATACGAAAATTGTCATTATTTTATTTATTTTTATTGTGGCCTTCCATATTGAGTGATTCTAATACAATAGTTTGTAATGCGCGCACAAAATACATCTGTACTATGGAGATTATGTCGGAACAAAGGATTTTTAGTGTGACAATGATATATTACAACCATTTGCTCCGCCTGTAAAAATAAAATGATTTAAAATGTTGCATTTAGAAATGAATAATGACTATTTTAATAATACATACTTCCAAGTCCACTTGCCATTATTCCGCCATCGACAGGAAGTAGGATGCCTAAAATGAATGTTATGGTTTAAACAATGTTATGGTTTAAGAATTAATGTAATTAATAAGTAATGTTATGGTTTAAGAATTCATTCATTTTTTTATACCATTTACAAACGATTCAGAAGCCAAGTAAGCGATGGCAGACGAAGTATCAGAGACCTCACCGACTCTTCCAACCAAGTAGTCATTTTTACGTTCTTCATAAAATTGAGCTTCGTTCGACTCATTGATTCCGATCGCTTCAAAAATTGGAGTTTTGATTACTGCCGGATTCAAACTAGAATTTTATATTCAAATAATTGTGTAAAAACTTTAATCATTCTCAATTTTAAAAATAAAATTACCTATTCACTCTGATTTTTTTCGACGCCAATGTCAATGCCGCACATTTGGTGAATTGATCGAGTCCAGCCTTTGATATGCAATATGACATGTAAGAATCAAAAGCTCTCAAGCCACAAATACTAGAGACATTTATAATATTGCCTCGGCTTCTTTCCAAATGGGGCACGGCTAACGATGTTAGAACGACCACACTTTTTAAATTGGTATTTATGATACGATCAAATTCATTTACATCGAAATTGACAACAGAATCATCACCAAAAATTCCGGCATTATTCACCAAAACGTCCAATTTACCGAAATGCTTGATTGTTTCCTTAATAATGCGTTCAGGATCTTTGGTCACATCGGCTACGATCGCAAGCGGCGTCGGATGACCAGCTTTGATAATTTCTTTAGCGACTTCATTTAATCGCTTCTCATTTCTGCCAACGATTGATACACTTGCACCTTTGCTTGCCAAATGGCGAGCTGCATCCGCACCAATGCCAGAACTTGCACCGGTTATAAGAACTACTTTACCACTGAAACTCATTTCAATGTAGATGTTTCTAGCCAATAGGATTCTAGAGAAGATATATGTTAAACTGAATGATAAACAGCTCTGAGCTTCCTTTTATAGCAAACGAGATTCTATTTTGTTTTGTTTTTATCAAGCAAATGTTCTATGAAATCTTGATACATTGTCAATGTACATGATTCAGTCAAAAATGAATATGTAAATCAAATTGACTATATTGTCATCGTAATCATCGTTAATTGTATTTCAATTGTAAGACTTTACTTTGTACATTAATTCCATTAACCCATTCAAAGCGACGATTCCATATGGAACCATCCATTCTACAAAGTACATATTTTGTCATGATTTACAGTTATATTTGGGTTTTATAAACTTCATGTCGTTCGAAAAAAATTGTAAAAGTAGTCTGCGCAAATTTAAAGCGAAATGCCGCCGCTTTAACTGGGTTCACCCGATTCCATGTGTGGCGATTTCAATAGTACTTACAAAATTTACAATACACTTTCGTTATAATTTAGAAGAAAAAAAAAACAATAAATACCTCTATTTATTTTACTAAAATTTGGTGGAAAAATGATTTGGAAGATAAAAAAAGTCTACAATTGAACATAAACTGAAACATGACTACCTTAAAAATATATTAAAAACTAGCTTGAGCAATAGAAAATTAAATTAAAAATTTTGTAAAACTCTACCCGAAAAAAGGATGGGCTTTATGCATAGAAACGAAGAAAAACGGAAAATGAAAATCGTGAAAAATTCCCACAAATCAGCATCACATCGCACAAATGTGTGATGAAAAGAGAGAAAAAGATAAGATATGATAATGTCACATGTATAACAATGCCAAGGATACAAAGGAATATGCATAAACTTGTGACAGTGAACAAAGAAATATCTTGTTGGTCTTAAAATTTTACATTTTTTTTATGAAAACCAATGTCGGGGCAATAAAACTTTCTATTGACACAACATGTTTCTGGGTATTTTTTTTCTACAGCCAGTTGAAAACCAAAGATTGAATCACTTCAAAAAAAAAAACATACATGTTGATGCATCTATCGAGTGCTTGGGAAAAATCCCCGATAAACAATTATGCACTAATGAGAGCAAGCTGCTCACATCGATCTGTATGATTATATATTTGTACATTTCTTTAATAATGAACATCTCTGATTAACTTTTGACGTGCATATAAAAATGCGGTTTCCAAACATTTTACATATTCTTACTTTAATTATTGACCGAAAGTTTGAATAAGTTTTTTTAGGTAACATTGACTTAAATTTTAGCAAAACGAACCATGTTTTCTTTTATGAACGTAGAAATATACTTGAATATTTTAAATTCAAACTTCTTTCTAACTTTAGAATGTCATTTGATAAGTTGATATTATGCCAATCAACACATGGGCGGTGTATTAGATTTCATGCAAATTACAAGTCATTTATCAATTCAAATTGCTTTGTCATAAATAATAAGCATATTATTATATGAAATGTCTGTTAGTATAATTGATTCAATTATCAAAATATCGATTTATTTCAGCTAATGATGAATAGAAAAAGTCACATTCGATAAAAACAAGATCGAACAGTTCTATTCGGATATCTTTTTCACAATATCAAATACGTTTTTTTGTCATTTTTTTCTTTAGTTTTTCTGAAATGTGTATTTACTAGAGTATATATCACCAAATTATGTAGATCAAATATAAATGGCCAGACTAAGGAAAAATATTCAATGATTAAAGAATAATACCATTTGTATTCCTCAAACTTTTTTATTTGCATTCATCTACATTCGATTAAAAGTGTTTTTATGATTGAATGCATTTAATTGAATTCAAGCAATTGTCGAATCGATTGGAAGCAAAACACCAGAAAGAAGTGAGTACGATTTATCGTCGGCCAAATAAGAAATCGCTGCAAGTGTATCATAAACATCTCCGACTGTACCTACTGGATATCGTTTTTTATATTCTTCCAGCATTTTTTCGGCTTGTTCGGTATTTAATCCGAATGTTTCGTATACTGGTGTACACCTCGTAATCGGATTTATAATTGAATTCAGTGTAATTCCTTTTGATGACAAATCCATTGCTGAACATTTGGTAAACTGAAATTGTTGGAATTTTAAACCCTTTGTTTATATGTATAGATAAAAGAAATCTAACTTGTTCTAGAGCCGCCTTTGAAATGTAGTAGGTCATAATGTTCGGTGTAGTTCTTAAGCTTGCTATAGTTGTTATATTAACTATGTTGCCCTTGGTTTTTTCGAGATGTGGAATCGAAAATTTCGTCAACAAAACTGAACGAGTTATGACACTTCGTACATTTACATCAAATGAACGTTCAAAGTCTGAAACGGGTGCTTGCAATCCACTGCCTTTCATCATGATTTCGGTGTTATTCACTAACACATTTAATTGTCCAAAATGTTCAACTGTTTCGTTAATAATTCTTTCGGCTTCGTTTGACACATCGGCGACAATTGTTAACGGAACACTAGCACCCAAATTTTTCGCCAAATGGAAAGCTGTATCAGCACCAATGCCATAACTGGCATCTGTAATCAACACTACTTTTCCAATAAAACTCATTGCATGTTTTTGGTAAGAACGGTAGCACTCTTACTAGCTTGAATTTGATGCCAGAAAAAGATTTATTAAGTGTAAACATGTAGTATTTATACCTAGATGACAAACAAGATTTCAGAAGTTTATGGTCCCATTTTTTTTCATTTATTTAATACCATTTCATATAACAGATGTATTTTTGAAAGAAAATGCATGTCATTCTAAATCAAGTTGAATTTCTACCTGACTCCTTCATTCGCGTGACAAAAGCTTATTTTCAATGTTATGCTGTTTAATTATTATTCTTTTGCTTCCTTAAAACAAATAAAGTGTGACACGTACAGATTGCAAAGAAATACTCACTACCTATATCTTGACCTATATAAAGATAAAAACTCACTACCTGTAAAGATAAAATATAATTTTGGCTATAAAATACACTTTACATAATTTTTTTTAAAATCAACAGCAAATATTGCGCCAGTGACGAGTGAAGCCAAATAACCGATCAAACATTCAATGGCGAGCGATGTGTCATCATATTCATTTGTAGCAATGTTCAACCTGTATCGTATTGTTTTCAATCGATACATATTTCATTGCAAACCTCTTATTTGTGCGTCCAATGTTCACATTGCAACAAACAATGAAATGTACTTTGCATCTTCCCGATGATGCTCACTTTATGACACAGGTCATAAATGGTTTACTTTTGAACATATTCACTCAGTGCAATATGTCAAATGTTAAGAGATTCCTTTCTTTTACTCTAGTTCTTCTGTAGTTGAATTGTTAGTATTTTTTCATTCTTCGAAGCATACAGTCACAATTTAGTCTTCGATAAATCAAATGAATAAAATATTAAAAAAAAAACAACAAATATCTTCTGCGTTAAAACAGTAACAGCACTATAGTGTGTTCGAAATAAGTGACCAAAAATGGTGATAATTTCAGTGAAATGGCGAATGTGGCCGTTGATAGTGATTTTGTTTGTATTTTTTGGAATAGTTTCAGCATCTCCGAATTTACGTCGACGACAAAGAACAGAAGACAATAGAAGAGCTGAATGTCGTTTGGGGAATACGTTGCATGAATTGGGCTCCAAATGGTATGCCGACCTGGGACCACCGTTCGGCATTATGTATTGCATTGTATGTTCATGTAATGCGGTAACAAAAAGGAAACGAATTTTGGCTCGAACCCAATGCAGAAATATAAAAAACGAATGTCCAAAACTTGATTGTGACGAACCGTTGCAGTTGCCAGGAAAATGTTGCAAAGTGTGTCCGGGAAAAATAAACGAACAACAAGATGCACCAGTAGTACAAACACAAGAAGACGAAGATAATAATATAAAACATTTTGGTGCTCTATTAACAAGCCGTACATCGTATTTTTTGAACCGCGAGGAAATTAAAACCACTTACGTTACTAACAATCCATTGAATATTATTTCAACCGGTCGTTTTACGTTCGACAAAGGGAATTTGTATTTCTCATTTTATGTATCGGAACATGCAAGTCGTCCACGTGCCATTCAATTCATCGTCGAAACTGGTCATATTATTGAAGAAATAATGTTGGTACAATCGAGTAAAATATTCAGCGTATATCAAAATGCAACCGGAAAAGTATGCGGTGTATGGCGACGAGTACCACGCGAATATCGAAATCAATTGCGCGATGAAAAGATGAATGTTGTGTTATTATGGGGTTCAAAATTATATGCTGAACTCGCATTGGCCGGTAAAATTTCAAAGTATCCAGCATTGTCAAGTGAATTGTTTACATCATTGCTTGAGCCACCACCTGACAAAGGTGTTGTTATGAAAGAGCTAAACGGAGCCGGTGGAATGGCCATTGTATCAACAAGCAGCGGTGCTACATCATTGATTCATTTAACATTAGTTTTGAATGGTTTATTCCATAATGAGAGTGTTGATGTTGCGCTAAATGTTCGTCTCGAAATGTCTGATAAAAAGCAACAAGTTCTTCAAGACACGATTGTTGTGAAGAAATCTAATTATGATTATAATGTTATTGAATTGACATCGCCGGTAACAACACAATACTTGCGTTTACTAACTCGCGGTAAATTGAATTTGATTGTGGAATCACAGCTTAAACCAGAAATTAACATTCAAGGATTGATTTTAACGCGAGCCACATGTGAGATTTATCAAACACTGTTGGCACCAACATCAACCGAATCGAAGACAACGACTAGCGGTTTGGCATGGGCCTATGTGAATCGTGACAGTGCTCTTGTTTACAACATTCACACGGACGATTTGAATTTACAAGAAAGTCCGCTCATCACATTGGTTGATGAGAGCGTTAAGCGTAAAACCGATTTAGAAAATTTAACACCATCATTAAGTTTGAACAATGCAATCGGTGTACTTTATCGAATGAGTCTACGTATTTTGGAAGCATTGTACGCAAATAATTTAGCCATTAATATTGCAACGAAAAATGAATCAAATTTAATGCGAGGACGATTGATTGGAAGACAATTGGCCGATGCACGTGACTCAGAAGAACCAGTCATTTTAAAACGTTTAGATTCAAATGCACCGTCTGATCTGGTTGGCATGGCATGGGTTGCTGTTGATAACGATTGTACGCTTCACTATGAAATTACATTGAATGGTTACAACACCCAGGAGGAACTTGAATTGTACTTGGAAGAGAAACCATTCGAGGCTATTAATGCACCAGTTACTACAAAATTGTTGGAAAACTTCAAAGGCGAATATCTAGAAGGATTCCTTCTGGAAGAAAAGGACATGCCATCATTTCAACTATTGAACTTGGAGACAAGCGTTTGCTATTTACAGGTCAGAGCGAAAGAAAGTGGTACACATTTATTGAGGGGTAAATTAGGATCGATTAAAATTCCAAGTCATTGCGCAATGCCCGGAATCGACACAAATCGAATTGGGCTTTTAAGCCCAAATGATCATGTCGATGTAAATGTACCACTTCATCAAAAATGCTATCATTCGGGGCGTTTCTATGATGAAGGTGAACAATGGCAAAATCAAATGGGGGTATGCAGCATGTGCTCTTGTATTTATGGACGAGTGAAGTGCGATAAATTAGAATGCCCACCGTTAGATTGCAAAGATGGTGAATTACGGCCACCGCGCGATGGTGAATGCTGTCCATCCTGTTTATGTGAGTATTTTTAAAATGTTATGCTTACTTGAAACCTTAATTTTCATATATCGATTTTATTTATATTCAGCAAAAGAAATGAATATTAACCCGAATGTAACACGTGGTTGTCGTTTGGGTAATCAATTCCATGCAGCTGGTTCTTCGTGGTATCCATACCTTCCACCAAATGGATTCGATCGATGCTCAACTTGCACATGTAATCCAATTACATTGGAAATTAAATGTCCTCGTGTACAATGTCCGCCGCTTACATGCTCTGATAAAATTGCATATCGTCCAAATAAAAGCGCATGTTGCCGAAAGTGCCCTGAGGTACGTAGGTTGCTCCATAATTTTTTTTAAAATGGTACTTATAGTGTTGCCCGATGTAAACCATTGTCATATTCGTAAAGTTTGATGTTTTGGTATGTATTCGTGCCCTGAACCTTTTGTCGTACGAACGCTATTTGTATTGTTTACAGTGACTGGTAAACTGCGACTCAACAAAAAATGAATTTTACACGTGAAGATTTTCGTAAAATGATTTACTACGATTTTCGAAGTAAATTATCTCAACAACAGTGTTTCGATCGACTTCATTTGGCCTTTGGCAATGAAGCACCAACCCTTCAGACAATTTATAACTGGTACCGAGAATTCCGTTGCGGTCGTAGTTCGCTCAAAGACGAGTTTCATACAGGTCGTCCAAAATCGGCTGTTGTGCCACAAAACATCGATGCTGTCAGAAAACTGATTATGGAAGATCGTCATGTGACCTACCGTGAGATTGAGGCATCTTTGGGCATTTCATCCCACAGCATACATACAATTTTGCATGAACATTTAGCCGTAAAAAAGATTTGCTCTCGTTGGATCCCACATAAATTGACCGATGAACAAAAAATGGCTCGTGTGAGTTGGTGTAAAGAAATGCTCAAGAAATTCAATCGTGGTGCTTCAAAAGACGTTAATAAAATCGTCACTGGTGACGAATCGTGGATATATGCCTATGAGCCCGAAACGAAACAGCAGTCGACTGTATGGGTCTTCCAAAATGAAGATAACCCAACGAAAGTTGTTCGAGCAAGAAGCACTTCGAAGCGAATGGTCGCCTGTTTTTTCGGGAGAAGTGGTCATGTGGCAACCGTTCCACTAGAGGATCGTAAGACCGTCAATTCTGATTGGTATACCACCATTTGTTTGCCCGAAGTGTTTGGTGAAATAAGAAAAAAGAACCACCGTCGCAAAATAGTTCTTCATCACGATAATGCGAGCTCTCACACATCTTTTCAAACTACTCGATTTTTGACCGGTCAAAACATCGAACTGATGGGTCATCCACCGTACAGTCCTGACCTGGCACCCAATGACTTTTTTTTGTTCCCAAGCGTGAAGAAAAAACTACGTGGTCAACGATTTTCGACACCAGAAGAAGCAGTTGAAGCGTTCAAAACACACGTTTTGGAGATATCAGTTTCGGAGTGGCACGAATGCTATGACAAATGGTTTCATCGAATGCAAAAGTGTATCGATCATCTCGGGGAATATTTTGAAAAACAATAAAACCATTTTCGACAAAAAACAACTGTGTTATATATGTTTTTAAAAAAAATTATGGAGCAACCCTCGTAAGTTTTTTCAAAGAAGTTTTTTTTCGCAACATTTTTTATACTTACAAAATGGTTTTCATTTATCAGGTGAAAGAAGCACCAGTTGAAAAGAAGGCACACGATCCCGATTTGATGAGTGATGAAGGCAAGAAAGGAAAACTCAAAACAAAGGAAGAGATTTTATTACATGGAGGTTGCAAGATGGCAAACACCGTCCATGAAAATGGTCATGAATGGCACCCAACCATTCCATCGCACGGTGAACAAAAATGCGTGAAATGCAGTTGCAAATATTCGATCATAAAATGTAATCGCAAGCATTGTGGTCGTTCGGCGTGAAATAAAAGTGCAGCAAGCAATCATGTAAATAGACTCACATCCGTTGACTATTGCTAATTACATTTGTCGCTCGCGACGATATCAAAAAGTAAAATCAATGTCAGCAACGAGAACTAAAAATTGAATCACAACAACAAAAATCCCCTGGCAATTTGAATAGTTGTAAGCACCAACGAAGTCTTCGATCATCATATATATCCTAAGCCAAATTTTATTTGTAGCAATTTAAGTTTAGAATAAAATTTAAAAAAATAATAAAATTATTTTCTTCTCGATTTTATTTATGGTTTAAATCTTTTCCATTACAACAAAAAAAATACACATTGAAAAACAAATCATATGGTGCTAGGTGTCATTTATTATATTATCCATCGTCAATTTTTGAACGCAAAAATTGGAATTAAGTGGGTGTCGGCTATATTATATAATGTTTGCCTTAAGTTCGTACTTTACGTTCGTGTTGATTACACTAGCATGTATCCACCTAAAATATGAGAGAAAATAGCTTGGTTAAACTTAATGTCGTGCATGAATGAAAAAGATCACTACTCACCATCAATTGTTAGTAAAATGCCTGTTAAAAATGAAGCGGCATTTTCATCAGCAAGATAAGCGATTGCCGAACTGGTGTCCGATACATCGCCAATTCGTTTTACTGGATATTTTGATATGCAATCATCACGCACTCGATCGATTAGTTCCTTGGACAAATCTCCTACTTGAAATATGGGCGTCTCGATAGCGGCCGGGTTGATCGAATTGACACGGATATGTTTTGGTGCAAGATCAAGGGCGGAACACTTGGTGAACTGATCCAAAGCTGCCTATATATCACAAATATAAATAAAGTTTCTAGTATTATGACATTATCGATCATTCGATACGCAACCTTTGACATGCTGTAAGATAAAACATTCTGGATACATTTCAGACCCGCAACACTTGACACATTGACGATATTTCCTCTTGTCTTTTCAAGATGTGGGACGCACAATTTTGACAACATTATGACACTTTTTAGATTTGTATTGAAAATTCGATCAAATCCAGATAATTCAATGTCAACAACATTATCTTGTGCAACTATTCCGGCATTATTCACCAAAACGTCCAATTTCCCAAATTTCTTTATTGTTTCGTCAACAATCCGTTCAACATCTTTGGTCACATCGGCTACGATCGCAAGTGGCGTTGGATGACCAGCTTTGATAATTTCTTCAGCGACTGCATTTAATCGCTTCTCATTTCTGCCAACGATTGATACACTTGCACCTTTGCTTGCCAAATGACGAGCTGCATCCGCACCGATTCCTGAACTTGCACCGGTTATAAGAACTACTTTTCCACTGAAACTCATTTCTTTTAATTTGTTCAAACGACCACTGAACAAAGACTGAACGATGACAAACAAATGATATTTCTTTTATATCGAAAAAATCTTCTTGTATGTGTGTTTATTATTAAACAGATAATATGTGACACAGCATGACACAGCTGAAATACACAATGCATAAACTTCAAACTATTATTAATTTGCTTTGATAAACACTCAATTTATTGAGTATAGACCTGTTTAATTTATGATTGGGAGGTCAGACGATGTCAGTCAATAACAGAAATCGTGTTATCGATTATTAAGTTATCTGCAGAATTTTTTTTTTTTCGCCATTTCTTTGATAAAACTTACATCACCATACAATAAATGTATTTTAAATATTTTATTTTCATTGCCTGTGTATGATTTACACATAAAACTGGCCGTTCATTTTTGTTCTCATATGTAATTTGAAAGCCCAAGACTGAGAGCAAAAGTAGCATATATCGCTATGGTATTTTTACTTCCAGTTCTCTGTGTTCTTTTTACTCTAAGATTTTATTGGACTCATTTTTGCGCTGAAAGTATATATATATATGTGAACGATGACAACCAAATGATGTTCTTTTTATATTGAAAATTGAAAAAGTCTTCTTGTATATGTGTTTATTATTAAACAGATAATCTGTATTCTATAGTGCATGACACAGCTGAAATACACAATGCATAAACTTCAAACTATTATTAATTTGCTTTGATAAACACTCAATTTATTGAGTGTAGACCTGTTTAATTTATGGTTGGGCACGTTAATGTGGTTATATTTGTCAGTCAAAAACAATAATCATGTTATCGATTATTTAAAGCATGTTTTGATGTGATTATTAAGTTCTCTACGTCACCAGTCGATCGCGTGATCTAATGCAATAAATGTATTTTCAATATTTTATTTTCATTTCCTGTGTATGATTTACACATAAAACTAGCCATTTGTTTTGGTTCTCATATATAATTTATTCTACGTCATTTTCAGTAAATTAATTGGATGTTATTAATAACCTATTGTGTTTTATTCAATATAATTCAGTGTGTGGTAGTTTTAAAATGACAAAAAAAAGTAAATAATTTAACTTATTATTGATTGTTAATAGTTAGGTTTGCAATGAGTAAACTTCCACCATCAACCGAAAGTATAATTCCAGTGAGAAATGATGCTGATTGTTGATTGGCCAAAAATGCTATAGCATGGCTTGTATCTGATACTTCGCCAGCACGTCCAACTGGATATTGACTTCCCCTTCCATTATACGCTTTTTCTTCTAGTTCTGGGGAATATTTGTCACCAAGGAGGGCTTTTAGAAAATTAGTTCGAACAGAAGCTGGATTGATACTATTTACTCTGATTCCCCTCGGAGCTAGATCCAATGCTGAACATTTTGTGAACTGTGAATTGATTCAATGGGCTTATTGAGAGTGATTTCTACTAATAAATAATCTTAATTAATATTACCTGATCCAAAGCAGCTTTTGACATACAATAACTCATTGCATTAGGAAAGGCTCTCAGACCCGCAACACTTGACACATTGACGATATTTCCTCTCGTCTTTTCAAGATGTGGGACGCACAATTTTGACAAAGTTATAATACCTCGTATGTTTGTATCAAATACACGATCAAATTCCGAAATATTTGCTGTAGCAACATTATCTTGAATACCGAAACCAGCATTGTTAACCAAAACGTCCAATTTTCCAAAGTGTTCGATCGTTTCGTTTACAATACGTTCAGCATCTTTGGTCACATCAGCAATAATTGATAAAACTGGAAATCCCGATTTCTTAATTTTTTCGGCCACTTCGTGTAAACGTTTTTCATTTCTCCCAACGATTGAAACACTTGCACCTTTGCTTGCCAAATGCAAAGATGCATCGGCACCAATTCCGCTGCTAGCTCCTGTTATCAAGATAACCTTTCCTTCGAAACTCATTTTTAATGAATTCACTCAGTTACAACTTCACCGATTCACATGCAAAGATTGAATATGTTTTGTTTTTAGCAAATGTGTTTATTTCGATGAATAAGAAAAGGCACGTTTCTAATCTCTATAATAATAGTGAATTCTTATCATCGATTTCTAAACAAAGCAGGTTTTTAGGTTGCATCTAGGGGCTCGAAACTTGAAAATAAAATATCACATACAAATAAAATATCACAGTTTTGTATGAATTTGGTATATAGCGACAAATATTACAAATATTCGTGATTATCGTAGTTTTTTGTAATTATACAGCAGCGATTTGATACACACACACAACACAAAATAAAATTAATAATTATGTTATTATTGCATAAAAACAATTTTCAGGCTAAAAATTTATATTTTTTTAAGAAAAAAAAAAATAATTTGGGTTCACTTCAAAAGTGTGTAGTTAATATTCTTATACCATTTACCGCCATTTTGCGTATTTACAATAATCAGGAATAATGATTTTATTCACGAATATTCACAGAAAGTGAAGTTATTGTTCACTACTCAAAATGGACCAATATTCGTGAATATACATGGTTTTTAACGAATAAATGGGCGGAATTTATACCTTATTGGGCACATAGCCAGCATGTGTCTAGTTCACTAGACTCACACAATGGTATAAATTTAGGATTGGTAATAAATAAATAAATAGAAAATATTTCCGAGCCCCTAGGGTTGCATCATGACCGTGACCAACACTTTATGACTCTAATTTGCTTGGTCATTTATTGTTGTATTCAGGTATTTACCAGTAGGCCAGTGGCGTAAAGTAGAAAGGGGGTTTTTTGGGTTCAACACCCCCCAAATAAAATCGATTTACACTAGATAAAATGAAGTCTTGGAGAAGAGATATGAAGAAACACCATATAAGCTTGAAAAAATTTTCTGGTCGCTACGCTCGCAAAACTTCCCATTCCTCCGCTTGTTAAGATAAATATACGTTACAATTTAACTTATTTATAAACACTAAAGTGCTTAATTTTTGGTGTATTTTGGAAAATACACCGGCGATAGGCCGAAAATATCCTAATAAATAAATAAGATACCGGTGTAATTTTGAATCTCATTTTCCAAAGGAATCCACATGGTGACGCTACGTACTGGTAATATGAAAACAAAAAATTATACCGGTATCTTATTTCTGGCGTCAATGAACACATAAAAACTATTTGACCATTCAATTCTGAAAACATAAAACATTGAGCTATGGACATAGCGGCTGCTATTTCATAGCCGCTATTTTAATCAGTTTTAATGCGTTTATGCATGTTGTGCGTTATTTTCACATTAGAATGTAGAAAAGAATAGTAGGCCATGATATTCCTACTCGGTGTTACACACTTGATTGTGAAAAAGTTAAAATTATTCAAGTTTATTTTTCGAACTTTGTCTCCAGGTATCTCCATCACAACGATCTATGTTATATTTCTCCCAAATAATCTTTAAAAAATTGGCTCACTTCACACGCCATAGCTTCTTAATACGTTTGGAAAGTTTGAATATTGAAAACATCTTATGCTCTTCAATTTTTCACAAATGAAATGGAAGTTGCACTAGATAAAATGGACTTTTGGATAGAATTTTCTAATGATTTACTAGGGTTTTGTTGATGGGAAAAACTCTTTCGATTTTGCTAGGGTTTTTAACGAAAAAAAAAATAATTAAAACCCGCCAAAGTCGATCTCAAGTTACGCCACTGCAGTAGGCCGTATGATATAACTCACAACGTTCGTTTGCTTTAGCTTTGTGTTTACAATCTTTTTTCATATATCTTTTCGATACATATTTGCAATGTCATGCTGATGGTTAGTAAATTAAATGTGTGATTTCGCATTGATGCAAAAGAAAACAGAGTGCTCAAAATCGTCATCAATCGCTGTCATCATTCAGACATTTAATTAATTTAAATTTATCTCTGTCAATTTTCATATTTGCTAATCCAAAGTATGATTGATAAATTGCACATAAGATATCCAAACAATGTCTTTCTCAAATGTTTGTTATGAATTCATAGATGAAAGATTTGATGTGTACGCAGTAAATATTTTTCAGCTACTGATATCAGCTGCTATATCAGGCGCTGTTCAACTCGTGTGCTGTGTGCGATCTTTGTTTTCTTTTTACTGCATGTTGTACGTTATTTTCATCATCTCTCTCGTTTGTATACACTCGTATTCAAATGTACAGTAGAATAGTAGGCACGAATTAAATTGCAAATCAATAGATATAGTCTCCATCTGACTGCATTGCCAAGTTAAATGGGTCAAATCAATCTACTCATTTTGTGCAATCGAATTGTAATACATAAAATTATTGTATCACTTTCTTTTATAGATTTTCTCAAAATAATTGCATGTCTGTAAATAAGTTAGGTGCTCGTTACAGTTTTCAGCAAATAATGACGGGGGAAAAGCCAAGTTAATTAAAAGTAAATGTCTTACGTAAAATAGTGGAACTTTTCTTCATCAAAGCTGATAAAAAGTAGCACTTGACGAATTTTTTTTCTGCTCAGTTTATTGTGGCTGAAATCAATTTAATTAAATTCAATATATTCACGTGCTCTTTTGCTATGGAAACCAATCGAAAGTGGCTTTGAGGTTGTGTCATGTAAAAGCATTATGGCATGTAAAAAGCAAGCGTTCAGGATCGCATACATTTATACGATACATTGAATGATGCATGCATCATTTCATGCGCATCAAATAACGGTAACGCTGTCGTTGTACGTGCGGATCTAGTAGCACACGACGGTCTTGCTTTATTGAACATTCACATCATTACGTGTATCATATAAGCACGTCGTGCGCTGTCAGGTCCGTACTCACAGCGACATCGTTAGCGTTGTGTTTGCGTTATTTGATTCGCATCAAACGATGCATGCATCATTCAATGTATCGCATAAATGTATGCGATCCTGAACGCTTGGTAAAAAGGGTTGTAAAAAACTATCGAGGATTGTGACTCTTTGGGTTTTACAGTTGCTCTCAACGATATTGTAATGCAGTGGTGATCCTTGCATGTAGAAAAGTTTCAAAATATATCATTTTGAAAACACATAGAAGTCTTTTTTATTCGATTCCTTGTTCGATTCTGATATAAATTCTATGACTATGTAGATGGTGTATCGTCATGAATAGGGAATTCATAGCAATGAATTCTTCATTTTGAAATCCAGTATTTCACAGCAAATCAATTATGGTTAATCATTTTGCCATAACATGCTAACAGGCTAACCAAGTAAGCAATACACATACATAGTCAGAAGCGGCACAAGCTTCGTCGTCAGTAATAATTTTATGGTCTGCTTTTTGCCTGGAGAAAACGGAAATGTGTACGATCGGTCGTTTGGTCGGTCGTTTGAGTGTATGACTTGTGGTTCATGCAAACTGCAACTCTCAATGTGCAATGCTTGATGAACGCCTAAAGAAATTATCGCTTACGAATTAATTTGCACACCAAAAATATGTAAGATATCAAACAAGAAGATTTACAGCTATTTGTTAATTTAAGAGGTTGAATGCTGTTTTGGCGTATGCTAAGAATGAAAGAAGGCTATAGACCATTATATGCACTGAATCCAATATTGTGCAAGAGTATCTCCCTTTTCATTTCTTCATTATAATTAGATTATTTATTTAATTTTTACTCAAAAGAAAGGCTTTCTTAATTTTTTAGTTCGAAATTATATTTGAATTTCGATTTAAAATAACAAACGAAAAGTTGATAGTAACAATGGATTATTCCTTTTCTCAATACTATGGAGGACGAAGAAATTACACTCGGTGTATATTTGACTTAGTTTATGATGCAAGACTACGTACAATAAATTGTGCTTTTCATTTTACAAGTTGGCATTGATTTAATTTCAAAGGCCAATTTATTATTGTCGTCGATTCGAAATCATTCCGTTGAACACCATTTTTACGTACCCTTTACTCCTTCTAGTTTAAAAAATTCAACATAATTATGGACTATAATTTCTGTTCAAATTGTTCAAGTTATTTAACTAAAAGAAGATTTTTCAGATGTATTCACGTAAAATCACGTCGAGACGCGAACGCAAGCAAACAATATTATAATGATGCGCATATCATGCGACCATGTACGCACGCTTAGATCCAGATCTTAGATACGGAAACTACCAGAGAAAAACCATTGGCTAAATTATTTATTTTATTACTATTCAGGTTCAATATAAGAACATGGAAATGTCATATCATTATCATTCAACAAAAACACTGTTTCTGGCTCATTCTAACACAAATCACATGTTAAAATCACTCATACAAATACAACATATATTGATCTTTTTTATTCATCCATATATAATTCGTCAATATAATGATGACTTAAAAGTCCACTCCGGTTATTTAAACATCAACAAAATACGCATTATTGATATTTTGAAATACTAAATGACGTCAACATAAAATATTAAAAATGTGCTGTGTAAGTGTGATTTTTCAATTTATTCACAAAAATAAATTTATTAGTGAGTTTGAAAACGTCCCGAAATAATCGCCTGACTGACTAACAGACTGAGTAACTATAGTCGATTGTTTTCCATACAACATTTTAAAATTCATGAATATAGCCAACTATAGCCACTTTTTTTCCACTCGGGTTCGTTAAATTACAAATGTTTTACGACTTAATATTGTATTAATCACGTCTATCAGTTCATTGAATGGCTGTAGCAGTGCTATTGAATATATATTTGATAAACATTCAAACCCATAATCGAAACGTCGGCAATGTTTTTTGAATAAAGTATTGATTTATACCTGATAACCGTTTTACTTTTCCGCACACACTTAGTGTGAAACGGGAAAGTATTGCAATGGGTCAAAATTTACGACACCTCAAAAACATGTTTTCTACACATTTTCGAGCCCAAAGAACCCTAATCAGGCCGTTTTGAGCATGGTTGTTGTGGGTCTGTTCCACGTGATACGTCGTACTCAAAAGGATCGAGTACTATCTGTCAAAATATTTCCCCCTATGCCAAGCGAAATTAATTCGATATACGGCGCTGATGTAAATGTCACTCTGTCATTTCACAATAATACTTTTTTGGCTTGACAATATATAAGCTCTTCATTTAAAATGCATACACATTCATAATTATTGAATCGTTGAAAAAAAAACATGTCATAAAATATTTTTCTAACATTTTTCATTAAAAAATTTATTAAAATTTTTTTTTTATAAAAAAATTAATTTGTTTATAAATTTCAATAATTTCAACAAAAAATGTTTCATCGATTAAATAAGAATCCAATGTAAATAGTAATGACAATGCGACACCTACCGTAAAAATGCAAAAAGAAACTTAGTTGGTATCCATTGTAGCATTTTTGTCCACCATGACAGCATCTTCGTTTTACTTGACCAATCACAGAGAAGCAAAACGAAGATGCTGTTATGGCGGACCAAAATGTTACAATTCCAAATAAGTTTCCTTTTCTATTTTAACGGTAGGTGTCGCATTGGTATTACTTTTTACATTAGATTCTTGTTCAATCTATGAAAAAAAAAAATTGAAATTAATGTTATTTTTAAACAAATAAATTTAAAATATAGAGAATTTTTATGATAAACGTAAGAAGAATATTTTATGATATGTTTCTTTTTTTTACTCGACCGTTCAAAAATTATGCATGTTGAATGAAGAGCTTATATATTGTCAAGCCAAAAAATGTATCATTGTGGAATGACATAGAGTGACATTTAAATCAGCGCCGTATATCGGATTTATTTCGCTTAGCAAAGGAGGAAACGTCGTACTCGCTCCTTTGTAATTTTAGGATATTTGAATGGAAGCTATGTCTGTGTGATATCGTAATGACCTGAAACTGTGAAGGTTTGAAGAAATTCCTACGAAAATTAAAGGTACCAAAAATCGAAAATTTTGTATAAAAATATCGTGTGCAAAGTTTCACGTCCTTTCATGGTTTCTAGGCATGATTCCCATACAAAAATCCAAATTTTTTGTGACTTTTGTATGGAAAGTGTTTAAAAAATAATTTTAATGGAAACAGACATATTTTTTATAGCGTTTTGTTAGATTGCGGAAAAGTTCGTCTTACTCCTGTAAGCTAGGGGAATTTATCTGTTCGCGAATATATATTATTCGATGGTACACATTCTATGCATATTTTACGAATAATGCATTGAATGTACGTATTTTGAGAATATCTTGCGAATATTCGCAGTGAATATACGCAAAATATACGCAATATTCACAGTGTTTTGATTGGGATAAAAACCCCTAGCCTGTAAGACTCTTTATTTAGCTTTTAATTTCCAATTTATCATCCACGCTTGGTAGATCCCAATAAAAATTACAAAAAGAACTACGAATTTTATGACGGGAATTTTGTAATTGAACCGCAGTTGTGTCTTATAGTTTGAAATAAAACTATAATTTTCTAAAAAAAATTGTGGCGATTTATTTATTACTAATAATATTTTATCAATAAAGACGCCCTTTTATTCGTTTTCGAGATAACATCCGTATTTCTTTATCTAATCGTATTTTTGTTATTCGTAATCGTAAACGATATTAAAATACTGGAAAAGTGTATTTACAAAATTCAATATTCATTAAATTCATAAATCCTCAGGCTCAACTTGAAGAAGATTGCTAAATTTATACGATTTATGCCAGCATGAATCCACCTGCAAGAAAAAAAACTTTTGTTAAATTCCCATAAAATACATGAATGAAAATCAGATGTGCTCACCGTCAACGGTTAGTAAAATGCCTGTTAAAAATGACGCTGATTTTTCGTCAGCGAAATAAGCAATTGCCGAACTCGTGTCTGAAACTTCCCCAACACGTCCCAATGGATATTTTGATTTGTATTCATCAAACATCTTTTCAGCAACTTCCTCTGTAAGACCGACTGTCTTGAATATTGGCGTTTTGATAATCCCTGGATTAATCGAGTTTACACGAATATGTTTCGGTGCAAGATCAAGCGCGGAACATTTTGTGAATTGATCCAAAGCCGCCTAGAGAGTAAATATAAATAATTACTATTGCTTGATTTATGACTCTCAAATTATAACAGGGCATGACATTTCGATAGTTTCTATCCAATTCGGTGAAAAATATTTAGCGTTTCGCTTCGCTTGTACATATTTTTTTCTAATTTTGTACAATTGAGATTAAGCTTCTCTCCATATTAATAATAATAATTATTATTTTAGATTTTGAATTTTTTTTCATGAAATTCTCAAAATTCGAAACTTCATGCCCTGGAGTCTTAGTTGGCAAAGTTATAGGATAAACGAATGAAAATCCGACTTGTACGCAGAGTCTATAAAAGTGGAGCACAGAGTTTTTTTTACATAGTTTATTTGTTGTAATACAACAACAATTCTAGTCTCTGCGTACAAGTCGGATTTTTATTCTGATCCATTCAAACAACCTTTGACATGCAGTAGGATAAAACATTTGGAACAGCTTTAAGACCCGCAATACTTGACACATTGACGATATTCCCTCTAGTCTTTTCAAGATGTGGGACACACAATTTCGACAACGTTATAACACTTCTTACATTTGTATTGAAAATTCGATCAAACTCAGGCATGTCAAAAGTAGTAACGTTATCTTGCCCAACGATTCCGGCATTGTTCACCAAAACGTCCAATTTACCAAAGTGTTTGATCGTTTCATCCACAATACGTTCAGCATCTTTGGTCACATCGGCAACAATTGTTAATGGTACTGGTGAACCCGAGTTCTTAATTTTTTCGGCCACTGCATTCAATCGTATTTCGTTTCTACCGACTATCGAAACACTGGCACCTAATTTCGCTAAATGAATAGCTGCGTCAGCACCAATGCCACTGCTAGCTCCTGTTATTAAAGCAACTTTTCCCTCGAAACTCATTTCACCAAGTATGTTGAATCAATGTTCACAAATCAAATTTGAAATTTAAACTAGGATTGTCATCAAAGCGTACCACATTTTTATACAAAAACATAGCTGTTATCTTTATCTCTCTCTAGCAATCTCCTATCCATATATGATAGAAAACATACTTCACATATACCATTGTGGTATTCACCAATCGATTTAACAGCCACACACACACAATGACAATATGTGTATCCAATCGCTTCTTTCACAATACATTTTGAATTTCATTCGGCATAAGCGATTCATATTTTTACACACAGAGAAAAGATTGTGTGCAAACAATATGGAATTTTTTGCTACTACTATCCACAGTTGTGTAGAATTTCATGGGTGTATTTTTCGGTTTCTCAATTTAAAATGATTCCGTACAAAGTACCAAAAGACTATGTGTTTTTTGTGTATCGGACTGTCGGTTTCGATTTTCATAAAAAACTTGCGGATTCGTTTGACGCATTGTGTTACAGCAAAAATATGATTTATTCGCCGTACTGTTGTAAGAATTTATTTGTAATCATTTATTTTAGACATTTTCATCTATAGCAGTATACGCTACGTTAATTGCATCGTGTATCCAAGAAACCATTCCAATGTGTATTCTAATTTGATCAATTCGGGTTAAATACTCATTGAATCGATTGATTGGGAAAGTCATTTATGAACTCGGATTGAATTTTATTGTGAATATTAGTAGTATATTTTACTTAATTAAAATCTATAAATAAAAAAAAATGACAAACCACAAAATGTAACCGAATATGAAATGTATGGCACTGTCTTGCAGTGAAATTGATAAAAAAAAGATAAAATAAATCTTCCAATTTTCGTATGAAATAATATTTATTTGAATTTTAATGATTTTATATTAAATATAACATTATCCATTAATTTGTATTTACAGCCAATTTCAAACAAAATTGATAATAATGTTCAAACAGGTAACGATATTGAGTTGCTCAGTTGTGTGAATGAGCCATTACTGAGCATGTATGGAGTGTGACAGTTTTGTTGATAGAGCACGTGTAGTATAGTTTTGTTGTTATCAACTTGGAAAGACGAATTCTATCAGGAATTCCGGTGTTTTTTTTTTGTTGAAAATATATCCGTAAAAGCAAAGGATGAATGAAACACTGAATATCGTTTCATCGGCTACTGCTTTGCCAAATAAACAGTTTTTGCAGTTGTTGAACGCCTTTGATAATCATCAAACATTCAGTCAAAAGGTAAGAAAACACATATGAACTGCATTTCTTGGTCAGATTATAACACAAAACAATGTATAACATAATTACAGGCAAATCATGAGCTAGATTCGATCGTATCACTGATAACAAATAGCTTGAATTCCCACAGCAAAAGGCACGAAGGACTTTTACTTCTGAGTTCATTTTTACATCAATGTCAATTGGACATAATCGAGCAGAAAGGAAGTTTATGGTTGTCGTTGTGTACGAAAATTTGTGCACAGAAGAAACCAGCAGCTACAGTGTGTCTTGCTTATGAGGTCATAAGTGACATATTGACAAAATCTGATCACATTCCGGACCTTGGAAAGGCGATTTCAAACAATTTGCTAAGCAAAATTATTGAGACAGTCAGTGGTTTGCCGCCAGATTGTCATTTAGCCGCTTTGAAATGCATGGAAGTGTGCATGCAATTGTATCCCGGTCCATCGGGTGCCAGTTCCAGAACAATCATTGATAAATTTCTTGGTACACTTATCGATAGTACAAACCAAGCATTGGTTATTCAAAGTGGAAAGTGCCTACTTCAATTACAACAAGTCAGAGGCGGTGGTGGTCAGGGATCTAGCGTAAAAGGTGCTTGGTCAAATTTACAATCACAACTCTTGGGCAGTTTGCACGGCATTTTGAATCAATTGTTTACAAATGCAACTGAAACCTATGATGGTTTTAATTTTGACGAAGAAATCACCACTTCTAAAATGATTGAATTGAATTTGAGCCCAGATCCAGTACAAAGGGCTACACAATTGTTGACTCGATTTAAAAATTCAACGGACTATCTACGAATTGCATTATGGTAAAATATAACAAATAATTGAAGAGTCAACATTTTAAATTTTTCTTCCTTTTTGTCTGTGTAGTGATCCGTTTCCCGTAGCAAAGGCAATTCAACCAGGACACATATTTTCAATAATCGCCAGGGGACTGGCTGTCAATTGCGCCACACTATCGAAGAATGCAATTACTGATAACATTGCGATTGGAGCACTTTTACCTCAAATTCATGTCTCACTCTTTCGATTGTTAGATTCGTTGATTTTGTTGTAAGTAAATTGTTTTTAATTCAAGACGGAGTGAACATCTTAATCAAATTTTATTTGCCAAATAGATTGCGTGCGCATTTACTTCCATTCGCAAGTAATATATGTCAATTGATTGCACAATCTTTGAAATGGACATCATCTGGTAAAGCAACAGGTTTCAAACGGCCATATATGTAAGTCCCGTTTCTAATTGCTTTTGATCGTGGTATTTTTAATGGGTTTTCTAATTCGATTGAATTTATTTTCAGTTCAATAAGACAGGCAGCCTATCGCACCCTTGGGCTGTGGTGCAAAACGACCAAATATGGTAGTTTGGTTGAAACAATCGCCGACGACTTGATAAAGTTTATTATCCAAGACATAACACCATACCAGAATGAAGTCACTCTGAAGGTATTAACAGGATTTCATTTACCATTCGGTTCCATTAACTATTGATTAATTCTCATTATTTCCATTTTTCTTTACTGGTTAACCCTAGGTATTAACGGGAAGTCGAAAGTATCTATCGAAAAAAGCACGTCAAAAGTTGCACAAAGCGCAAAACGATGCATCCAACATAGCCCAAACTCATTCGAAGTCATTCAATCCGCACAATACCAAAATTATTTACACAGACAATGGAAATGAGCCACTGTGTGAGGCAGCACTTAGCTGTTTGGTGGAGGTTTTGCATGCAGCCGGCTGCTTCATCAAACCTTTGTATCAGAAAATTTTACAAGAGAATATTGTTGCCCTTTCGTTGAATGTTGTGAATGCAACGCCAAAGAAAACAACTCTATACTTTGACAATGAATGCCGAAAAGCTCTTTTTACCGCTTTGTTTGCATTGACACAGTCACCACATTGTCTCTGTCCGCCGCCAATTCAATATGCAGCCGAAGCTTTTCGATTGGCCCAATTGCACGATAGTAGCGCTGACATTCGAAATAAATGCAGTGAATATTTGCGCGGTATCGAAAAGATTTTACATCCGCAAAAGGAAATTTTCTATTTTCCGACAAATGTAAATGATGTTGCAACGGCATTTAAACAGAATGCGGAAGACTCACGTGCCACTGCAAATGGTTTGGATGACAGTGATAGTAATCAATGCAGTGACGAAGACAATGAGGTAAACACATATTCAATCAATATCATTTGCTATATATTAATTGTTTAATTGATTTGTTTGATTTAGGACGAAGATGTTGAAATGAATGAGGTAGTTGATGCTTTGCCAAAACCACAAAATCAAATGCCCGAAGAAGTTTCGAATAACTCAACCACCGAAATTGTGGAGCATCAAACGAAAACCTCAGGTCAAGTAGAAGAGGAAAGCAAAGAGGCAGTTATAGAAACAGAATCAACCGATTTGGAATTATTGGAGCCATCAATATCATCACAATCACAACAGCCACCTGAAGAGTCTGTAAAAATAGTTGTTGAAGAAAATAATGAAGAGAAACCGTTGACTTCACCGCCACGAAAATCAGCCCGACTCTCTGCAAAGAGACGAGACTCGGCAACAGACAGCGATGCTTCCGTTACAACAAAGTCCGAGTCACCGATTCCCCGGCGAAGATCACTGCGTCGCAATTCAATTTCGCTTCAAGATTCGACTCCAGTAAAGGGAAAAGAAGAATCGAACAAGTTGCCAACAATCACTGAAACCGATGGCACTGATAACGGAGCTAAACAGAGTGAAGAAGCACTAATTGATGAGCTGGCTTCAGCGTTTGTTGATGAATTTATTGACGATGATGATTAGATTTTTTTTTTTAAATTAAAATGTATTAGCAATTTATCAATGAAAATAAAAAAATAAATTAATATTTTTTTCTGAACTCAAATTAAATGTTTGCATTTTAATTCCGAAGACATTATATTTCTTTAAATTTATGATTTAAATTATTTTATTTTTGTTAAAACGTCATTCAAACGTGTGAACACGCCTTAAGTTCACAAATTGAGCAACAATCATGTGTGACATCTGTCATTGTCCACGACGGCGATTGGCAACATCGTTTCAAACGCGACAACTTCACGTTCATACATCAATATCTCTCTTTCCGGTGGTTCTTGTCAAATTAAAGGTACGGACTTTCCCATTGTCCAGATAAATTTATCGAAAATTCTCATAAAAATTTAATCAAATAGATTTTTTGTGGTAAATTTCATTGAAATTCTATTTAATAAATTGAAATCAATTGGAGTACATAAGTTTTTTTGGTGAAATTTGTCGAAAAAAATCGATTTTATGTGTACTGTGAATAGCGTGACATGAGAACGCATTGCGCACCCATAGTGTAATGCCTATCACATGTGGCATTATTGTTTACCACAATCGAAAACAACGATTACAACCATTTAATTTCGTGAAATTTCACTAATTGATTGTGTTTTTTGGCTATTTTCTTCCTCTAGATGCCAGGTGTAACAGTAAAAGACGTCGACCAAGCTGCTGTTGTTAAGGCAGTAGCCGAATTCTTGAAAAAGTAAGCATCGAACATAACCTAACTTTTATATATGTTACATGGAACTGTGTAAATCAGTGATTGTTAATGTGATACACATCACATAATAATATGCTTTCAAATCATTATTCAGTTTAGCATAGAATTTTTTTGAATGTGTGCTATCGAATGAAAACATCTAATTTCATTGTTTTTTTTTTGATGTTTTTCCCTTTCATCATTTAGATCTGGTAAATTGAAGGTGCCAGAACAAATGGACATCATCAAGACCGCAAAATTCAAGGAATTGTCGCCAACCGATCCAGACTGGTTCTACACACGTTGTGCTTCAATTTTGCGTCACTTGTACCACCGTCGCTCAGTCGGTGTTGGTGCCATCACCAAAATCTATGGTGGACGTAAGCGTAATGGTGTTCATCCATCACATTTCTGCCGCTCAGCTGACGGTGCTGCACGCAAAGCTTTACAAGCATTGGAAGCTATTAAATTGATTGAGAAACATCAAGATGGTGGCCGTGTATTGACCTCACAAGGCCAAAGACATCTCGATCACATCGCCAACCAAATCGTCGTTAAACAAAGAGCTGCAATCAAAGCCGCCGCTCAAGCCGTCATTGTAACCGCTTAAATTAATCACAAAAAGTGTCCAACATCCGGTATTTTTTGTAATTTAATGGCTTAAAATCAGAAAAAAGTTTCAAATAAATCTAAACAAAAAAAAAAAATAAAAAAAAAAACAACAAAAGTGCACTTTTTTTTCATTTATTTTTATTGGTTATGACAACAGGTCTTATTGATATACTATTTGGAAAACGATAGGTTTGATATATCTTCTGATTAATCGTGCATGTTTAGCGATATGGCTAAAAATAATGAAAATGGGAAAATCTTTCAAATTCGTTTTTGTCCAAAAACAAACAAATATGGGAAATTTTTGTTTTTTAAGAAAAAAAATTTATATCCGAAAAAACTGAATTCGCCGAATTCGTTGCCTTGAGAATTCGCCGTAATCATCATTTCGCCATATTCGCCCATTTTGACGTTTAAGCGAAAACAAAAAAGGCAGTTAGTTTTCGCGCTTCAATTTGACAACTAACACCTGAACGCAGACGAGGACAAAAGACACCATCAACTATGTTTATTGTACAAAAGAACGACGAATAAACTCGAATTCTTCAATAGTTAATTTTAAAGAATCAACAATAAACTACATTTTAATCACGCTCAAACAAAACTTGATCGAATAATACGGTGAAAATTTCCAAAGCGATAACCTGCACGATGTTGTTGTTAGACCAATAGACGCGAACAACGTGAATTTTGCAACGCATTTCACAAGCTGCAGTAAATAAAAGGCTTCAGCGAAACACAAAAAACCCCGTTCGTATTTTGAAGAGTGACCAAATTTGTGACGACCACAACATGTTTATTCACGATTTAAAAAGCGATTTTTATAATATTTTACGCGGCAAACGAATTTTGGTGATTGTTAACTATGACATCGACGCAATATGTGCGAGTAAAATTCTGCAAACGCTATTTCGCTACGATCACATGGTGTATTCAATTGTGCCGATCATGGGAATTGCTGGACTAAAGCGTGCTTATGACGAGAATAAAGGCGACGTTAAATATGTGCTGTTAATCAATTGTGGTGTCTGTTTGGATATTGTTGAATTGTTGCTACCAGATGAAGATGTTACTTTTTTTATATGTGATTCACATCGACCGATGGATGTTTGTAATATTTACAGTGATTCTCAGGTAAGTGTTTTTCGTCTTCATTTCCAAATCATTGGCTCTCATGTTTCATGTCTCTCAGATAAAAATATTCGGCGAACCAAGCGGTGAGGAGGGAATTCCTACATTCGATGCACTGTTTCGTGACGATGACGATAGCGAAGATGAAAACGGCGACGACGATAATTCGGATAAAGAAAATGGAGAAGCTTCAAATCGAGCCGATCGAGTCGAACAACAAATACTGAAACGACGAGAGAAGCGGCAATGGGAGGAGAATCGCAATAAAATCCTCTTCGATTACACACAATACAGCTATTATGGCCGAAGTTCGGCCATCATTCTATTTGAGCTTGCCTGGAAACTGAGCCGAGACTCAATGGAATTGCTGTGGTGGGCAATTGTCGGATTGACCGAACAATTGGTAATGGAAAAAATTGAGAGTAGCTCATACGTGTTGGAAAGCGATAAAATTCAATCGCATGTATCCCGTTTAACAAATAAGGCGAGCGATCAATCGGTACAATCGGCGATTAAAATTCACTTTGAAAAGGATTTACATTTGGCATTGTATCGACACTGGAGTGTCTATGAATCGTTGCGCAATTCCAAGTATTCGGCATGCAAATTAAAATTGTGGACGACGCGTGGTGAGAAACGTGTTCATGAGCTTTTAGTTGAAATGGGATTGCCACTTGCACAGGCCAAACAACAGTACAGTTCAATGGATATGATGTTGCGCAATGAATTTTATCAAATGATCGAACGATTGGCAGAAAAATACCAGATTGGTGACATTGTTTATGGTTCGTTCACCCTTCAATATGGTTATCGTAACAAATTTTCAGCGGCCGATTTTGTGTATGCAACCATTGCGATTTTGGAGTCAATTCGAAAGGATCGAACACCGGAACATTGTTTTCTTGAAGCGCTCGACAGTTTATCACGCAACAATAAACAAATACTCGATGCAGGCATTGAACAAGCAAAACAATTTTTGTGTGCCGTTTTTAAACTTGTGCAATCTGCACTGCAGGCCAATCAGGTTCGATCAGCTGGACCATTTTTGTATTTTGTCTTGAACGAGGAAAATCCATACTTTTCCTGTCCGCATGGTCTATCAATTTTAGCAAAATTTTTACTCGAAAGTTATGTGTCGATGTCTCGGAGTAAAAAAGCAATCGAACAAGCAATGATTGTGTGTTGTCCAGTTGATTTAGACATGGGAATCTATTTGATAATTGGCATTCCGCCCGTATGTGAAGATTCGCCGAAAAACTTTTTCGGCAAAGCATTCGAACAAGCAGCAGCAAATACCAGCGCATCGGTGTCATTAGATTTCTTCGAAAGTTCAATTGCCCAAATTAGACAAAGCGATTTAACAAAATTCTTGGACGGATTAACCGTTTTACTGAGCTAATTCGCTGTATTACCAATTCGAATCGTTACATCGTTATTTATTTAGCATTTTAAGACAATCATTTAGTAAATACAAACAAATAGACTTTGATTACAAACATTAACGTGTAACAAATAGCCCGTGGCTTGTATATTTTCTAATTTCAAACAAACTACTCTTAAGCACACAATAAATAGACTTTTAAGATTTTCATATCATTTCCTTATTTTGTTTCAATTGTTTTTATTGTTCTATGTTATTATAGATTTATTTGCGCAGCATTTTTCAATATGATTTTTCGCAACAGCCATTTTCTAAAGTCATTTTCAATAGGATAGACGATCGTTTGACATCCTTATAAGGATATTCCTTACTATAGTAAGATGTGCATTTTAGAGAATATCTTTTTTTTTCTCCGTCAAGCGCTATATATTTGATGCATACATATTTAGCAAAAAATACTCTACCAATTTAGTAGAAAAACACACAGTAAATTTCAAGATTTTTTGTTATTTTTTTTATTTTCGTTTTTTGTACAGTTCTCAGTCGCTTATACTTCTAAAAATTTATAATTCATTTAAGTTTTTCAGCTAATCTTTCGCTTTCGTTAATATGATCTTCCTTCTCTTTCATATATTGTTGTCTAACTCTTTTCGCTAGTGAAACCATGGTTTCATCATCACTTTTTTCATTTTGTATATTGAAAGCATTCCTCATATGTGGTCCAGTCGAATGAATTTTCGCCGATCCAAGACATTCGTTGTCTCTATAAAATACGGAAAATTGGCCGGGGCATATGGCCCTCACTGGATTATCTAATTTGACTAAAAGACCCCCATCTCTCTCTACCAAATCACATACTTCAAGTCTGTGACCATGTTGAAATCTAAACGAAGCTCTTACGACAACGTTTCCATTGAATGGTGATCGATTAATCCAATGTGGTTGTTCGGTATAAAATAGGTCTGTTAATAATGTTGGATGGTTTCGGCCAGGTGCGACCAGAATTGTTTTTTTATCCGACATCTTGTGAACAGTAAATAATGCTTCCTTTTGTCCACCGTAGTTGATTTTCTGGCCTATTGTATAATTGTGAATGCCTTTATGTTGTGTAACTATTCGACCCGTTTCAATATTAACAAAATCACCCCTGATCTCTGTCACATAGTCTGAAATAAAATCGCTAAATTTTCTCTTTCCAACAAAACATATGCCCATGCTTTCACCTTTCTTTGCGATTGATTCCAGTCCAATTTCGTATGCGATTTTTTTCACTTCCGATTTTAGATAATTGCCAATGGGAAACATAGTGTTTCGTAGGGCGTCTTGAGGAATTTGTGATAGAAAGAACGTTTGATCTTTTCGACGATCGATGGCTTGAAGTAGTTTTACATCTGAAAATAAAAATTGATTGTTAATACTTCAATCATTCAGTGCTCATTGCTACTGGTATTTGACTAACTTTGATTCGGATCGAAATCTTGCAAGAAATTCCCGAATGATGTTCGAGCATAATGTCCGGTGGCAATTGCATCAGCTGACAGATTTTCCTTTGCATATTGATAAAAAGCGCCGAATTTAATATATTTATTACAATAGACATCCGGATTTGGAGTTTGACCATTTTGGTACAGCTGTAATGTGGTTCTGAAGAGAAAAAGAGAATTCCAAATGATAACTCCCGTCAATTCATTCAATGTGTTGCACATCTTACTCAAAAACATCGGTCCAATACTGCTTGACAAAGTTGATGCGTTGAATGGGTATTTGCACTTTATCACACACGTATTGTGTATCTTCCCAATCTTTTTCAGCTGAACAGAACCCAGTCTCATTGACCAGATCCCAATTTTTCATAAAAACAGCGCGAACATCAAAACCTTATTACAATGGCACTTTTTTAGTTAAAAAAAATTCTTATATTTTGTTATATATTCAAAATCACCTTTTTGTTTTAGCAAATATCCTGCCACAGCCGAATCAACCCCACCAGATATACCTAAAATTACTTTCCGAAACATTTTACTAAACGAAATTTTCTTTCGATTTCATGCTAACGACTACAGTACGAAACATCAAAACCACACGAACATAACCTCAATCTCATTTATTTACATGATTTTCTTTTGACAACAACTTAATGCCAAATGTGTCATTTGTGAATATTCTACGTTCTGGATTTTTATCTATTTGGATTATTCCGTTTTTAATGTCTCTGGATCGTCTTTGTTGTAATGAGTATAAGAATGTTTTCTTAGTTCAGTCTGAAGTCGAAAGGATTCGCTGCAATGTTCACATCGATACATATTTTGACCTACATGACATCTCAAATGTTTTGTCAAATCATTCGATTGGGAAAATGAGCGCGGACAATATGAACAAGAATATGCTGGAAATAAAATAATAAACACACAATTAGATTGGAATAAATTGCAAATTTTATAAATAATGGATAAGCTTACGTCTTTCTCCAGTATGGGTTCGTTTGTGCCGCTTCAAATGATCGCTCGAATAAAATCTCATCAAACATGTTTCGCATTGATACCTTCGGTCTTGCGTATGTATGCCTACAAATAATAACATTTAATAGCTGAAATTGTGAAAGTTTGTTTATCACATCCAATCAAAACGACTTTAAACTAACGTTTATGCTTTTTCATCGACCCTTTTGTAGTAAATGACGATCCACATAAATCACATACATGTAATTTTTGGCCTGAAATACATTTTTTTTTTTAGTTACTGTCAACGTTTCATTGGATATTACTGTGTTTAGTCTATAGATACCTGTATGAACTAACATATGCGTTTTGAGTGCAGCTTTCCACTTAAAACGTCCGGGGCATAAATCACAGGCAAATGGTTTTTCCGATGTGTGTAACATTTGATGACTGGCCAGCAAATGAATCGTTTTGAATGATTTTCCGCACTCTGCACATAAGTGGCTTGAATGATTGTCTCGAATGTGACCCTTCAATTTGCGTTCACTAAAGAAAATCGCATCACAGGTTGTACATTTAAATTCTTTGGCCTTTTTGTGCCATTCCATGTGCCGAGCCAGCAGAAAATTTAATGGAAACTCTTCGGTGCACAAATCACATTTGTAAATCTTCAGTTGGTCCTTGTGCATGTCATGTATGTGATGTTTTAGCGATGTAAGCGTGCTGAACGCCATATTGCAATATTCGCATTGATGAATATTTTTGGTGTGTTTGGAACGGTGTCGGAACCAGCTAGTCAAGTGAGTAAACTTGACATTGCATGATGTACATTCAAATGGTTTTCGTGTGTTATCATGGTCGATCATGTGTTGTCGCATCTCATTAAATTGAAGAAATCTTTTCTTGCATTCGAAACATTCAAATATTTTCTCATCAGCATGCGGTCGCATTCGTTTTGATTGTGATGTTTTCACTGGTTTCCTCTGTCTCACCTCACTGTCTGATTGAAGCGATCCAGCATTTTCATCGATAATTATACTTCTGGCATCAAAATTTTCGTCCACACAAACAAGTTCCGATATAGGAAGCAATGGTTCGTCATCATTCTTGACATCAAAATACAAATTTTCCACATTGGTTTGAGTAAATTCAAAATCATTTTCAATTTTGATATATCCCTCGATTGATTCATTTGTGTTTTGAATGTCGTCTATTTTTTCAGTCTTTGCAAATTCATCGTAACTTTTAGTCGATGTAAATCTTTTTAAAAAAAATTGCTCACTGGCCTGACACAGAATGTGAAATTCATACGTCGATAGTAGATTTGTTTTGCAATTTGAGCAAATTTTTCGTGGAAAACCATCTGTTACGGTAACTGCTCGCTTCAAACAGTGCTCCAATATATTGGCCAACACAACACCATTATAAACAATCTCAAATAAATCTTGCATATGATTGTTCTGCGTCGCACAAATTCGACAAAAATGCTGCAAATTATCCATGTCCATGGTTACGAATCCATTGAAAAATACTAATTTGTTTTTGCGTTTTTGTAAGTTTTTCGCCTTTTTTCGCCTTTTTTCGGACGAATTGTAATTTTGGTAAACAAAAAAAGTAAACTTGTTTTCGTAAAGTGTCAATTGACTGACATTATGATGAGCTGTCAAATACCGTGTGTGTGTGTATTTGTATGTGTGCGTGAGTATATGTGTCTGTGTTCGAATGAAATCATCTCCAGCGAAACAAATGTCAAACAATTTATAAAGAGAAAAGTAGAAACATTTTTCAATATTTTTCTAAAGTTTATTTATTAAATCAAAAATGCCTGTGTATGAGATAGCGCCAGTAGTTTTTGATATCGGTTCCGCATATACAAAGTAAGTTTCGTTAATTTAATTCAATATTTTTGGAATATTCATTGAAATTATTTGCAATTAGATTGGGATTTGTAGCTGAACCGCATCCACGCTCAATAGTTCCGACCCAAATCATATCGGGAACATCGCCAACAACATCAAAACCACTTTTTGAGTATAAAAATCAGCTTCAGCTGTACGACCAAGTTGTTGATTTTGTGCAAACATTGTTCTTCAAACATTTATTAGTCAATCCAAAAGAGCGAAAGGTGGTAATCGTTGAAAGTGTTCTATGTCCGACGGAGATTCGTGAAGTGTTTGCCAAAGTGCTATTCCGACACTTTGACATATCATCCATACTATTTGTAACATCGCATTTGGTGGCATTGTCAACATTGGCTATCGAAACTGGGCTAGTGGTTGACATTGGTCACAAGGAAGCAACAGTTATCCCGGTATACAGCGGAGTACAAGTACTTTTTGCTTGGCAGGCCCAACCATTGGCCGCCGAAGCTGTTCATACCGAAATCAAGAGACAATTGATCGAGAATGGCGTATCGAGTGAGCTACTCACCGATGACATTATCGAAGAGATAAAAGTTCGCACATGTTTTGTAACCACATACGAAAGATCACAAAAATACAAAAACAATGAAGAAGTTAGCCCACCACCCGACGTCAGCTATCCAATTCAAGGCAAAGAAACAATTACCATTCCCGGTAAATTGAGAGAAACTGCATATGAAGTCTTGTTCCCAGAGGATAACGATCGTTTGGGTTTACCGTATATTATTTTGGATGCGATTGCGGCTTGTTCGCTTGACATGCGAAAAACTTTGTTGGAAAATTTGGTAATTTTAGGTGGAACAGCAATGGCACAAGGCCTGACAGCACGTTTGAAAGATGAATTAATTACACTTTTGAAAACTGGTGTGTACAAAGAAAAATTACACACGACCACTGTGAAATTCCATCGTCTACCGGCCAAGGAAAATTTTGCAGCTTGGTAAGTAGAATATTTGATTGGTTTCTCCTACTACTCAAATGTACAATCGGCATTTTTATGGTTTCTCTTTGTTTTTATTTCAAAGGTTGGGCGGTTCCATTTACGGTGGCACTGAAATGCTGAAGGCAAAGGGGCTAGCCAAAGAAACGTACATGAAATTGAATCGTGTTCCGGACTGGATAAATTTAGACGATAATAGACCATGGGGCAATTGATCAGTATATAATTTATTCCATACACACATATTTTATAACATAGTTATTTTGAGATAAAATTGAGTTACATGTTTAGCTTAAGTTTATTGAATTATCATCCATTTGTGTTTTGTTTTCATTCTGAAAATGTTCGTACGAATGTTTTCTCAGCTCGATTTGTAATCGGAATGATTTCATGCATAGGTTGCATTGATAAGTTTTCTCTCCGACATGTGATCGCATGTGCTTATTGAGGTCACCAGATTGCGCAAACGCTCTATCACAATACATGCATTTATGTGCTGAAATTGAGAATAGAATATTGATTTTATCTATATTTAAGTGGATTAAATAGTATTGATTACGTTTTTCTCCGGTGTGGGTAAGTAAATGCCGTTTGAGATTATAGATCGTTCTAAACTTCATCGAGCACAAATCACACGTTTGTTCTTCAGCTTTCCTATGGCGATGCCCTAAAAGAGATTTGATTTGAATGAACTTGACAAAAAATGAATGGTTTTAAAAATGTTTTACTTCTGTGTTCGTCCAGCGATCGTTTTGAGCTCAATGTTGATCCACACAAATTGCAAATATATTTTGCATCCGAGTGTACATCCATGTGTTTTCTCAAGTCTGCATTACTGAAGAATCGCCGTGGACATTTCGAGCAAGCAACTGATTTATTACCAGAATGTCGAATTGAGTGACTTCGAAGCGTGCCCATTGTTTTGAATCCCATTCCACAAGTGGCACATAGATGAGGCCTCTCGTCCGAGTGTGTGGCAAGGTGTTTGGTTAGTAGGAAATTAACGCGAAATCCACGATTACAGATATGGCAAATGTATCTCTTTTCAACTTGTTTATGCTGCACTTGATGACACTCGAGCAAATAAGTCATGGGAAATAGTTTCGAACAGTCGGCGCACTTGTACAAATTATGATGTTCTTTGTGGCTTTCCAAATGGCTCAATAGGTTGGTGGTTGTTTGAAAATGTTCAAAACAATAATCGCACTGAACACTCTGTCCTTTGCACAAATGTGTTTCAAATCTCGTTGCCGAAAAGTTCATGGCACATATTTTACATCGAAATGGCGTTGCCTCGTTGTGTCGCTTTAAGTGAAGTCGAGTATCTCTGTACGATTTTAATTTTGCTTTGCATAAAAAACACTCGAATAATCGGTTCATTTTTCGGTTATGCATTTCTTGCTGCAACTGTGCCTAGGGCGAATCATACAAAAAAATGGAAATAACGGAAGTAATGGAAAAATAATCGAAAGAATGGATAGCATTTCTTCAGTAATGGAATAGTCATTTTTAAGTGATTTACCTGCAGCTGTACACTATTTGAGGCCATTTTACAATCTTCAATCACGTCATTAGCGGTTGGCTTTCGTTTTGGTTTTTGTTCAATTTGCTGTTGTTCGGTATTTTCCTCACTGATTTCGACATTTTCAAGTTTCAATGGTTTTTGAATAATCGGATTATCATCGTCGAGCAAACAAAACTCGATGGGTTGGCTTTTTGACTCGGCTTCATTGGACTTTGTGTTGGTGACCATGCGTTGAAATTTATCTTCACTCGATTTCACAAGATTATAAAAATCAAATGCAATCTCCAAGTTCGATAAGCAGCGATTACAGATATGCGATGGCCGAGAATCCGATTGCCGGATTTTTGTTTGGGTACAAATTGATAACATATCGGCCAGCATTAGTCCTTTCTTTCTGATTCCAAACAAACTTATTGTTTTTAATGACCGCTTCGCACACACACGACATATCTCACCAAATTTATTACTGCCTTGCACTGACATTGTTCTTCATTAAATTCTATGTAGCCAATTGAGACTATTTGCAGAAAAAATAAATTCAATTATCTTGCAAGTAAATAAAACACATCGAAGTACAGAAAAAAGGAAAATAAACAATTTCAGACATTCAGCTGTCAGACTGAAATGTCAAATGTTTTTTTTTTGTCAACTCACGCTGCTCACGTCAGCTCACGTAACCATGCACACGACAGAAATTTAAACAGAATAAAAACGATTTTCATTTCGTTGAATGTGACCTCTTTTATCAAATGACAATGTGCGTATTGTCTGTGAGTCTCACTTCTTTATTTCGTCCATGCGGAGAATATTTATTTATACAAAATATTTATTCTATAAAGAGCTGCTGTTGTTTTGAAGAAACTGCAGCAGCACTTGCAAAAATGTGTGCGTATGGTGAAAATCATGGGAACGACAGTGGCACGAAATGTTCAACAATATTGTGCAAAACGGCTGGTTCAGCAAAATTGATTGCCACTATGGACGAATGTTGCATTATAGAACACATATTCACATGGATTGTCAGTGTGTTCGTTGTGTTTAGCATCACAGTTTAACGAGAAATCTTCGGTACAGTTCGATAAAGATTTTGATCAGTAGACAGTTTGGTGCGACAACGTTCAGAGCGATATTCAATCAATCGATCAATTTAAGTTTCGCCGTCAAATAAATTAATAGTAATCAAACAATTGTCCACAAATGTGTTGTGTTTTGTTCTGGTCAAAATGAACAATAACTATACCATCAAGTACAAAAGCCGATCGGCTTCAAATATAAGCGAAAAGCGCATCGCAGCGGCATACAGCAAAGGTAGTCAATTTGACGTAGATTTGGTTACTTCCGACGAAAAGATAGTGTCAGCACATCGCTTTGTGCTTAGTCTGTATAGCAGATATTTGGCCGGTCTACTAAAAGATGCTGTCATGAACGGATTGGTTATAAGTAAGTACATTGTTGCATAAATTTCAGATGTTAAAATGCACAATTTGGTAACATATTACATTTATTGTTTTATCAGTTCCATTGACAAATTACACTCACGAAATTGTGGATAAAGTCGTCCAATTGATGTATTTTCGCGAAGTGACAGTGCCCACAGATCTAACGTTGGAGATGGCTTCAGCGATAAAATTCTTGAAGATTGATGACACCACAATCGGTGATTCAAAATTGGTACAGGAAGCGGAATTCAAGGAAGCGGAGTTCAAGGAACCGCAAGGCAGTGAGTTTTTTTTTCGTTTTTCATTGAATCACTCATGACTTTGAAATCATTATTATTCATTCCAATATGGAAATAATTTTAGCACCACCCAAGCGTCAAACTACACCACCGAAACGTCAAACTACACCACCAAAGCAGGCAAGCGCACCGATTCCAATGCAGACTCAACAAAAGCCACCGCAGCAAAAACAACCACAGCCACAGGTGAAATCAATACAACCACAGCCAAAGCCTCCACAGCCGAAACCGCCAATGCCCATTCAATCCCTATCAAGTGAAGTCACAATCTCTCAAACGGATTCATATGTGGCAGGCAAACGCAGTCGTTCCCAGTCAATGTATGTCTTGAAGCACTGTTCATCATCTCATAAATTGCGAATAAAATTAACGTTTTTTATTAGGTTCCAAGGTCCAATACTCTGTTCGCAAGATTTCGATATGGCCGACGTACAAACTTCGATTGTTTCTGCAAACAAAAAAGGCCCCTTTGATGTTCCATTTTATAAAAATTTGACCATTTCGAAGGTGCCATCACGACCAACCAAACCCACCGACACACAGATGCAGATGCGAGCACTAAGTCCATCTCCGGTTAAAATGACGAATGGTATTAAAATATTTCAATTCCTTTTATAACAACATTAAATGACAATTTTTTTTGTGCTTTAAAGACAACGTTCCACCACAACCACAACAAAAGCAACAACAAGTCCGGCCAACTTCCCCACCGCCACTACCTCCATCAAACGTTGCATTATCACGGCTAATGCAAAATCCAGCTCTTACATTTGGAGTGTCTGGCAACATTGGCCAGACAATTGGCGAGCCCATGGTGACACAGAAAAATTTAAATGCACTACAACCAAATGAATTGCCTTCAGAGGCAATGGAAACCGATGACTTGGCCGACGAGATCAAATATGAAGAAGAAGCCATGAATGCCACGAAAAACATCATTGACACAGACGTTGAACTAAAGCAAGAGGCTTTACGTGATCTTTTCCCGGAATCGCAAGAGCCCGAAAATCAGTAATCGAACAAGATTTAAATTGATTTCAAATCGAATCGGTCTAAGAACGGTTGATTTGCTCAAAACTTAAACAAAACTGACTCGCTTGCAACAAAAGCATAAATTTAAAGATTCAAAAAAAAAATACATTACCTCGAGTCTCCTATTTTCGAATGAATGAACAAAGAAAAGAAAGAAAAACAGTGAAAGGAATGCATGGTTTTATAATTTATATAACAATAAAGTTTATTGCAATTTTTCATATGTGTTGTACCTTATGAAGAAAACGAGAACAAAAAGAATTATTCGAAATATTGATATTTGATTTGTGTTTTAACATCAAACATAAATGTTGTTATTGTCCTAACCGTAACTTTTATAATTTCCATTTCTTAAGGCAGATTTGACAGGGTTCTCAATAAAACAATGAAATGCTATGCGAAAACATACTAAACATAGTAATATTAAAACAAAAAGAAATATTGAAAGAAAATACTTCAAAATATATAATCTATATGTTCATTCTAACTGGGAACTGGCTCCTATCATTCTTCAAACAAACTTATTTGGAAAAAGCAGTTGCATTTTGTGCCAATTCATTTATATTGATCCCTTGTGTGTGTGTTTATGTGCAAATTAAATGCATTCAGATATACGAGCAAAAAAAAAAACAACTTATTCTTGGAAAATGTTCCGCTAATTTTAAGTGTTTAGTGTAGTTTTTATAATTTTGATTCAGAAAATATGCATTTCAAAAATATTTTATGAAAATATGATTTGATGTGACAAAAAAAAAATTGAAATAAATAGAAGTTTAATTACAATTTTATGCGTGTGAATGAACTATATTCATTATTCTCAATCAATTTACTTCACACTCTCTTCGTTTGACATTGAATATATATATAGGTCAATCTTATGTACAAATACTGTTTGATTTATATAATTTAATAATTTTGATGAATTTCAATTGAAATTTGAATCGCACAATTTCCATTAATTTTGTTCATTATATATATATATATATATATTCCCCTTTATTGCCTGAACTGATCAAATGGGTGCTTATTTATTTATCTTTTTTCGCACAAAATTACAATTTTTATATTTTTATGGCACTTTTAAACGCCAAAAAAATTGGACTTTTCTTTAAGCCGTTATTTTGTTGTTTTTATTCATTCCGAAGAGAAAAAGATGCATACCAAATAAATCGACCTAATAAAATCACACTATTGCCGGACTCAGTTAAACTATTTAGCTCAATCTTCCTTAAAAGTAGGAAAAAGCGCTAATGCATTTACTCGTTGTACTTTTTACAAATGCTTTGCTTTATTGTATTCATTACAAAACAATGGAATTGCGATTTATTTTGCTTCGCGTTGTGATTCTCTCTGTTTCGGTCGCTTGGATTAAGTATTCATGAAACATATTTCGAAACCGTTTAGTGAGTGGTTAAACAAACAAACAAAATTTCGTGTGGAAAGCTTGAAGTCGATGTGTTTGTGTGTGTTCAATGGTGCCTTGTATGTGTGTGTGTTTTCTTTTTCACATGGAATTCTTGCAAGGATTCTCGTGTAATTGTTTCTATAAATAATTTGACCGATTAAACAACGATCGAATGCATTGTGTATTTGTCTGTGTTTGTGAATGTATTTGATGGTGCAGTGTGTGCAGCACATTTGTTGTGGGTTTTGTGGGTTTCGAAGCTTTCGAACTAAATCTATAATTCATCTTAAACATGTGTTAGAGAAAAAAAAAAAGAGAAGAAAATTAAAAGAATAGTATGTATAAGGTTTGAAACCGTGGCGTTGAGTGCTCATATGTTTCAATCCTACATGGTGTTCGTTTCCTCAAGTTTAAAGAGTCAGAGAGTGAGAGAGAGAGGGAGACAACAATTGAAAAACTGTATTTGTAGATTTGAACATCTGTACTTTTGAAATTTGATTGTTTTGTCAAAAGCGTTTTCTAATAAATACACAAAACCGTCGAATGAAGGAAAATGCCGTCGGAAATGGTTTACACAAGCCCCCATTTCAATTGTGTCAATGGAAAATACGCGTTTGAATAATGTTTCATGCTAGCATTACGGCATGTCGGCCCAAAAAACGTTAAGTTTCCTGTGCCAATAGCCTCTACCACATAATGGTTGCAATCATTTCATAAATAAAGTTGTATTGATCGATGATTTCGAGAAAACCGGAACTATGGACGAAATGCTATTGTGTGATAGAAATGGCCGTTGGTGCCAGAATTTTCATGAAACATTCATTAAAACTAGAACTTTTCAAAGCAATTCAAAAGGCATTGTTATCGATTTTCGACGTCATTTCAATACTTTTCGGGTTTGTTTTCTTATTTGCTTGGTTATAAATTTGAATCAAACATACATATGTTGTGTGTGTGTATATATAAATTGAGTTCACGTCTGGTTTTTGAATCAACCATTTTTAGCTAATGTTTTAATATTTAAATTCAAAATTGTGTCTATTATTTATAAAGACTGCAAGATATTTATAATGTGTTTTGAAATATTTGTAATTCTGTCATTTGGATTATTAATTTCGTAAATATCACATCGAAATTCTGTATGTTCTCAACTGTTATTATTAAACCCTATATGTTTTCCCTTTCTTTTGTTCTACTAAAAATTTATTCAAGATAAACTAGATCCTTTCTCGTGTATTTAGTGTATTCAGAATGAAAATGTGTGTGAGATTAAGCAGCATGTACTCTTAAAATGTAAATTTTCGTTCGATACTGTTGAATACATATCCAGTTAAGTTAAGGATATCGCCTCGAATACTTTAATGTTTTACGTGATTGCATTGTTCGTGCTCTCTAGTTATCTAAGTTAAAAGGTAACGTAGAGCCATTATGCATCGATTTTGGTTGCACTCCATATTATTATGGATGCATTACAAACACAGATTATTTTCCCTCTTTCCGATCTAAATATTTTTTTTTTGTTCATGAAAATAAAAAAAGAAGCAAATGGATGAATGTTGGTCGATTCAAGCTCAATTGGGTATCAAATACTTGATTCGGTTCGACATTATGCTGTTGCCGCCGTCGCCGCTGCTGCTGGCATTATGCTAAATAGATATCGAACAGATTTGGATAGAGTCCAAAGCTAGAATAAAGTATGCGTTAACATTGTCGAACATTTGTGTATAACGTTGAATGTTTTGTGTTTTGCAGCAACTGGTCAAACAAAGTGTGAAATGTAGTGTTTTTTTAGTATCCCAGACTCATGACGGTATTGAATCCAAGACTTTAATGACTGTTATTCGGATTGTTTTTTCAATGGAATGCGCGCATATAGCTGCAATTGAAATAAAAAATTTGATGTTTGAATTTGATTCAATTTGTTCGTACAGACAATTTTACATCAAAGCAAAATTCAATTCCAATTCGAATATTCAACATACCCCAAGCAAATTTCGTGGAACGTAGCCTTCGTCTCCGGTTTCCTTCTTTTTTGCCCACCACCATTCACGCTCTGCATCATCTCCTTTTCGCAAAATAATAAGCTGATCGTTTACGTCGAATGTAAGCTCGTCAGACTGTTGTGCTTCGTACGAAAACACAGCATACACCTCACCGCTATTCATTATACCTAACTTTTCTTGAATGCCTGAAAAATGATGCAAAAAAGACAAAAGATTCGTGAATTTAATGTTCAATTGTGTGATTCAAATGAAAAACATGTAAAATACCAAAATGCAATACATACTGTACAAATATTCAGAGCAACCATCGAAGCCTTCTTCGTCTTCTTCGCATTTCTCAGCTGGCGTTTCGTGATCAGACAATGTAGATGCAAATAGACAGGCTCCTGATTCGACCAAAAATTTCACCATAGCCAAATTATTACAACTTGCGGCACAATGGAGCGGTGTCCAGCCATCGCTATCTTGTGCATTTACATCGCAACCGAATTCAACCAAAAACCTATTCAAATCCAGAAAATAAATGAACATTCCTTTTGACCAATTCATTTTCATTTATATCACTTACTTGACAATATCAAAATGTCCGGCACAGATTGCATTGTGTAATGCAGTAATTCCTTCGTCATTTGCAGCACTCGGATTCGGTACCTATTACAAAGTAAACAAATTAATTTAGAAGAAAGAAAAACGTGTCATTGGCAAAGCAGGAAGATAAAACCAAACCAGAAATGTAAATGAATTTACCTGAGCTGCTGTTTTTTGAACGAGCTCTAGTTCACCCTCCAAACTGGCGTCGAGAAGTAAGGCCAACGGATCGAAACTAACTCTTCGAGATAATTTCACTTTAGAACTATCGCTCATAGACGATCTCTGTCGGCGCACGACCTCTGTATTTTGTGGTGCCTGTGGTTTTTCCGGTTCGCTACTAACAGATGAAATGGTTGATTTATCATTTTCATCGAGACTACTGTTGCTACTGCCAGCTGGAGACTTTGCTTTATTCATCGTTGGTATGAATTGTGGCAATTTACTTTCATCCATATTCGATTTGTTTCGCTCATTTTCGGGGAAAAGAAGAGTCGATGGCATTTCAATACGCCGTGATGTGTATTGAATTGGCTTAATTCCCGATGCAAGTGATCGAAGTCGTGGCTGTTCGGATAGTGGTTGCTTTTTAATCGTCAATGGCTTTGCTTTGATTGGAAAATCAATTGTATGTGCTTGAATGTGTGAGCTAATTTGATGGGTTGCATCAATATTAGGCCGATTATTTTCACTGTTTGTGCCTTTTTCATAGGAAGCAATTGCCGATGGAGTATTTTTTGATGATGTGTTTCGATTCGTACTGCCATTCGATGATGACGACGACGACGACGACGACGTCGACGATGATGATGATGTCGGCGACGATTCATGACTACTGTTTGTACAGTCGTTATTATTTTTATTTGGTTTCGGTGGCAAGGCGGGTCGTGATTTGTCCAACGATTCAACCGTCACAATTGGCATTACATTTACATTGGGTGCAACAGCATGCACGCGCGGACTTGGTATGGTTGATTTAACGGAAGAAGTAATTGATGTTGGAGCTACACTACTGATTGGCTTTCTTGGTGGCACCACCATGTTTCCATTTGAAATTTGATGTGCCGACAAAAGTTTTGATTTTTGTGCTGTTTTGCCATCCAAACGATGATTGCTATTCGAAGAAGAAGAGCCAGTTGTATTGGCCACTGACGATGGCACTGATTTATTTATTGCATTCAAAAATTCACTTTGTACAGATGGTTGGTGCAAACATGATTTTAACACTTTTGATTCCGTTTCATGTTCGACTTTCGCACTGTCGCACTCATTCATATTGGAATTGGCTGTTGATTCTACTTCATCAAAGGATTCCTTGCCCATTGAAATTATTTTGGTCGTGTTTATTGTTGGTGAAGGTGCTGCTGCCGTTGCCGCCGTCGTCGATATTGTTCCAGCCGCTTTACACTTCGTCGCCCGTGCTGAATTATAGGATAATGTGTGCAATTTCGAATCAACTTTATTTGTTGTCACAAAATCAGTGGTGTCACCATTTGCATTCAATTCAAATTCTTGTGAATGCTGTTTCATGTGCAGTATTTGTCGTGCCAATTTTGTTTCATCACTTTCAGCGAATTGAATGTGATTTACGTTGACATTTGAATTATTGTTCAGAGTATTGTTTGCATTTTTTTGGTTGGATTCATGTAAATTTAATTTTAAATTTGCCAAATCTTGCACCATTTTACCGTGCTGCTTCTGCTTGTTGGCCATTCCACTTGGTTTATGTTGCGGCATATGAATGAATGGTTCAACAGCAGCCACATTTCCCTTTGGTACGATACGCTGTGATGGATACACACTGTGTGATGGCCTAAAATGTAGCAGAAAAAAAACGGACGAAAAATGAGCACAAAATGAATTGAAGGATAACGTGCCACCACATCGGTGGCTAAAATTAGTGGGGTGAATCGAAAAAGGCAACCCGACAAGTATCATATTTAAACAGATGAATATGTTACAAAATTCATAACCGTTCATCAAATTTAACATATTTCACTAAGCTCATTCGTTCACGCAAAATTATGAAATCGTGTGGTTTTTCCCATGCACACATCAGCACCATGTATGCTACAAAAAGATTGAATAAATTAACTTACTTGTTTGATGTGGCAGCCGTTGAATTGGAATGAGTGTTATTAACAAACTGTAAAACCACTCCATTATTGTTTGTATAGTTGATGTTCTCCGCATTTTGATGATTAAATTGTGACTGTTGTTGCTGTTGCAGTTTTTGCTGATGTTCCGTTTGATTCAGCTGGTTCATCATGTGTAGCTGATTTGTTTTCATTTGATTTTGAAATGCTTGAGATAAATTCGCGGATTTTTTCTTCTGCAATCTCGACTGTAGCTCATAGATTCGTTGGTCCACCGATCGTAGTTCAGCTTGACGCTCAAAAAGTGCCTCACGTTGCAAATGTAAACGGGCATCCTGTTGCAGTGATAACTGATTTCGATACTATAAAGAGGAGAAGAGAGAGAAAGACGGACATTTAAAACAACGAAAACATTCAATATGCAACTCGCATAGTTTTATTTCAGTGTGCAAATGAAAGCAATTTTGATGAAGCTGAATTTAATTTATTCAAGCATTCTATTTGACATAGTTTTTGTTTCGACATCTGAACATTTTCATCCGGTATTTGTACATGATGCATTTATTTGAGCAGTGAATGCAATACAAAGAAAAATGTCAGGATGAAGCTTTGAAGTGTATGATGTTTTTTATAGAAAAGTGGAGTAAGTGAGATTTGGGGCAAAAAAACATGAAAGACAACAACAGAGAACAAAAAAGACTCTTTCTCACGAATCTCAATACGGGTGACATTTTAGTTTGTATTGGCACAGAAACAATGGCTTTGTATCAAGAATAAAAAAAAAAAACATTTCGATGAGAAAAAGTTGCGTCCTGTAAATGAACTTCAACTTTTCTCATTACGACAGTATTCAATAGTAAATTCCAGTGTTTAGAAATACGGGAATAATGGTATAGCGACGAAAAAGTTTTTCACAAAATCACTTGTGCATTGTAAACGATTCAAGTTTTTCATCTCGTCAATGGAAAACATGTACCAGTTTCGTTCGGTTTCATAGTCTAAATGCTAAGGAACTGATAATAATAATAATAATAATGGTAATTTCTTTTTTTACGTATTCCACATCAGGTTAGTCTACACGTCCGCAAGAGCCAGTTGTTTAAAATCAACCGCATGGTATTTTTCATCAAGCCAAGTGTAGAGCATAGCTATCAACACGTCCATCACTACGACAAACAAGTGAAAATACTTGTGCTTCCCAAGGAGTCACATCTCCCGTTAAAAAAAATATGTGCAAAAAAGTGAGTGGATAACATCACAAAAACAAAATAAAATCACTATGCCACTTGACACATTAAGCGACAATCACATTTTAAATGTTATGCTTATTTTCAACCTCTGCTCCATGGAATGTCGAGTCGAATACAGAATGGAATCCGAGAAAAAAAAACCGAAAATTCTGAAGGATCACACTTTTTTGAGAGCAAAAAAGAGGTAGATCGAGGACAAACGAGTGAACGTAAATTACAATATGAACCGGTGTGTCAGCTAAGCACTTTGCGTAACATTGCAAGCTTATTGGATTAGGATTAATACACAGAGCACAGTGTGACGAAAGTCATTTGCACTACCTAGAGTACTGCACCATGTTTGGCACAAATATAAAAGAGTCCCATGGCATTCGGTGCACTTAATTTTAATCTTTTTAATGTGATTCGTTTATTTAAAAATATGTTCCGTGATGGAACTTTCATTCACAACAGAAATATGGCTGAAATATAAAATCGTTTGCAACGAGTTAAAACTTTTTGTGCGTGTTAGTGGGATGAATCCGTTTTTTATGGCACTGTATGCCTATTGTTCAAAGTTTTTTAGCCATCGCCAATCAAACAGCAGTTATGGCTTTTGTTCGAATTGAACTTTGTTTGCGAAGTGAAGTGTAAAAGATTGAGAACATCGTTATCATTTATCCAACAACAGGCAGGTGCTTTATAGAATATCAAAGCACTTGAACACCTATTTGATGGTTTTCACATTTGATCTGTCAAAGTTTTAATTGAACTGATTTTTTAAATGCTTCCGAACCACAATGATTTGAATTGCGCGAAAAATGCATCAATAAAATTGATTCAATGTGAATTTTTCACATTTATTTCCACTCGAAAATTGTATGACCTGACATGTTTTTGATATTAAAGGATGCTAATCAAAATGCATTTTTTCCAATATACACATTGTTGAGGTTGTGTTTTTTTTGCTCATGCCTTTTGCACAAGCATATACATGCAATGAAAATTTAATTTCGATGAAAGAGGAATTATTATTATATTATTTTTACAAGCTACTTGACACAAATAAATATACGTTTGGAAATTGGCATAATATTCACAAAATTCATTATTATTATGAATGATGTAAAATGGTATTATAAATATCAGTACAGATGACTATAAAAATGGTAATAATCGACATATTTTGCGAACTCATGTCTTTAATAACATTTTAATGAGAGATAGTCATGAAGTATTTCATCAACATAACTTTCTGACATGAGTTTACCCACTTTTATTCTCAGTTGCTCAGATGTACAGCAAAATGCAAGTCTATTCGCATACGGTTCCTTTATTTACAAACATTTATTCGGGGACTTGTATTTTTTACTCGATTACAATCCGATTCCGGATGTGTGGTGCCACTGGTATGTAAGCAAGTATGAAAAAAAGTCATCAAAGGTAACAAGGTGGAAACAATTTTCATCCGTGAAATATGTTCAGTGCACATTACATTAAATATATGAAAATTACTTTTACAAGTTCATTTTATGAAATTTATTTTGAAGTGTGTATGCAGTGCACTGAACATGTGCATGTTGCTTTATGTTTTTTTTGGGTTAAAATTAATAACAGTAAACTGTTATGGTTTTGCTAGTTCTTGAGAAGAAAAAACAACGAAAATATAGCAACAATCCTTCTGTTTTCGAAGCATAATTACGTTTTCAGTGTATAAGCAAAGGGATTTATTAAAAATGTAAGTAGTAAAAACGTCTAAGAGTCAATGGTAAGTAATAATTTTTAAAGAGAGAAAAAGACGGTCATAGAGAGCCAGCGATAGAGAGACAAACAAAAAGATAACAAGATTTTGAGATAAAAAATGAGAAAATCTTCTTTTGAGAGATTAAATATTAATTGGTCATTTGTTCATTGTATAATTTGCTCAAACCGCTGTCCATCCAAGTAACTCGATAAGTTTTCCAGCTTCATTGTTGCTCATTCATTTGATGTGTGTGTGCCATTGAGTAATTCAGTATGGAACCATTTAATGGTGCGTATCCATTGAAAATGTTTTCTCATCAACTTCATATTAGATAGAAAGTAAATGAGTTTCTAATGAATTTGTTCATTCTGATAATATACTTTGGCCAATTCGGTCTGAATGAGAAGTCTTTTCATAATTTTCAAGAAAAACATTTCCAAAAGCAACAACGAATCCATGTCCAACTTTGATGTTGTATACAAATAGTTGATGGGCAACTGACGGCGCACCAGCATTCACTCACTTTGGTTTGATTTGAAATGTAAGCGCTTTTAATAGATGTCGGCTTGCTTTCATTTTGTGTGAGATCTTAATGATTTTCTTACAAAACTTTTAAATAAATCTATGTTCATGCAGTGTTATTTATCAGACATTTATGTGCGGCATTGATTGAAACACTTGGTTCAGGGGGTTTGTCAATAAATGTGAGCAAGAATTCCAGCTTCGATATTTGGTTAAAACTGCGCTTATACTGCACTGGAACTGTTTGACATACAATACATTTTTTTGTTTCATTTTTTGTTAAATGCAAAAATGTTTGTTTTCATACGGCAATATTAACTTTTGTTCGACTTTTTGCTTTGTCCCCCGTCCATCATAAGCCCTTTTTGAAGAGCGAAATAGTGTATGAGATGTTTACCAACACAGTACTCAGTCAGTGCTGAAAGGTCGATGGTCACATGTACACCACACTAACAAAATACACTATAGCAAACACCACATTATTCGAAAGAGAAAATTAATTTCGGTCTATAGCTTAAAATACCAACGAGCGTTCACATTTTGCTTGTGTGTATATGCGATGGTGTTGTTGTTATCGCTGCCATTCGCTGTTGCTGCTCAATGGAGAAGGGTGAATAATGGAAATCATTTTATTAAGTGCATTAACATTTAAATTGAAAGCCCCAGTTAAACAATGCGAACAATCCTATATAAATAGGTATATTAATTTCTATCGATGTGGTTTTACTTATACACTCTAACATTTTTCTATGTGATATGCATGCGCAAAGAAGTGTTTTAACCGTCGATTCCATCAGCTCTTTATATATGTAAACTTTAAGCTCATTATAATGCCAGAATATTGAAAATTCCGTGCACATTATGCAGTGCTTTTAGCGCTGCAGCTTGCAATTTCATTAATTACATTTCACCATGTATTTATGTAAAATCGAAAGAAAATAACATAAACAATTCAAATGATTTTCATACTACGAACATTTGAGGAATGTTCCTTCGAAAAGAAAAACAACAAAAATTGAAATGATATTCTAAAAATAGTTTCAATCAATTTATAAACGTTGGGTTCCAATACCATTCCAATAATTTCGTGTGTAGAATAGCCGGCACAGATATCGATTTATGGCACAGTCAATTTGGAACCAATTAACGAATCCCAGCAGTTTGAAAATGTGGCATCAGATAAACTGGAGCAAATGAATATGGAACGTTATTGGTTTGAATGGCAGATTTCAGGTCAATATTGACGTGTTATATTAAGGATAATTGATTGACTTTTCATTTGAAATGAAAAAGAGAGTATCCGATTTATTCTCTTGCTGCGATATAAGTCTTGGAAAATCATAGCCAATAAAAACCGTTTACGTATCAAAGCATATTTTGAATAACCGGAACCACATAACCACATAGCAACTGAAAAATGTTCGAACAAGCCAGGGTTTGAATATTGTTTCCGCTTACGACAAACTACAAATGAATATATTTGGTGAAATATATGCTCAAGTTTACAATAGTTTTAGTTTTATAAAATTTACAATGAAAATCGAATTTTATGCAAAACCATGTACGTTGTCCATGCTATAGTGGAATTTTTGATCGCTTACTGAAACATTTTCGAATGAATTTATTTAATTTTGCTGACTTATCAACCGTTTTTCACTCCTTCCAACAATGTAAATAGTTGAATTTTAGTTGGCGAACGGGAAAATTTCAATGAATTTATTTCATTATTTACTTAAAACGTCAAGTTACTCATGAATACGGGGTTACGAGACCAAAACAGAAAACGAAATCCAGTAAAAACGCACCCGAGATCATTGGCCGAATGTTCGTCGAATAATTTGTTGATTACATCAAAAATATTATTTTTTCATTTTCGAAAATTAATTAGAAATAACATAGAGACGTGTGGCAGGCAATTTTGCAATGAATTTATTCACGCTGGGAATATTGAAATGAGGTTATTACACAACCTCTCTCATTCTCTTTCGGTGGGTTTGTGCACGGGCTCATGGTGGCCTTGTGTACAGACTCTAGGATAAAGACGAAAGTTCAAAGCGACCCACCAATTAGAGTAATTCATATTTTGTGCGTGCTCATTATCTCATTTCGTATTATTATTAGAAAAAGTCTATTGAGCCAATTTATTGATGCGATTCACAAAAGTACCAGCAAATATTTATTGAAGGACGAGCCATTAAATATAATATATATATATATATGCGCCGCGTCGATACAGCATGGTACACATTTTTTTACCATCACATTTGAAAGATGATGGGAGCTCGTGTTTTTGCCTACCAAAATACGATGATGGTAAATAACTAATTTATTGATTAAACATTCAAATACAATTTATGTTATGTATGGAGGAATCGTTTCATCGTTTATGGACTCAATCGAAACAATCGTTTGCACCGTGCCCATTGCATACTTAAGCACAGGCTTAAGAAGGGTTCGTTCTATTGTTTTTAATGTTGAGAATGTAGCGTTTTAAGCTTGGAACAATCGATAAAGTGTTCGTGTTTCGGTGACATTTGCATGTCCAATGGAAAAAACCAACGGTACAATGCGCGGTTACATTCGTATCAAACCTATGATTGAAATGTTACTTTAGCGCTATTCTTTGAATTTGAAAGGAAAATACATATTTGAGAAATATTATCAATCATGGTGATCACATGAAACATCCTGTAAAATATTTTTCACACGTGATGTTAACCCATGTTTGACTGACTTGATTGAGTATTGTTAAAAAAAAATTGCCGCTGATTAATTGAGCTTCAACCGTTGAGGTAATGGTCTTAGAGCCTTCAAAATAAATGTCAGATTTTGGAATCTCATTAAGCTCCATACTCAGTCGAGCAGTTTTTGCGGTATTGTCCGACTCGATTTCTTTATCATTTTGACCTGAATTTTTGAGCCTTCTGTCAACTGTTTACAGTCAACATACATCTGTTACAAACAGGCATTTTCATTTGCGAATAAAAATGTTTCTAGTATTCATAAGGTCTGTTAACAGAAAAACAAAATATTTGAAAAAATTCTTTTCAAAAACATATGTCGAAAAAAACATGCGTAAACGTAATAAAAAGTAACATTCAATAAATATAAATACTGGTTTTAAAACCTAGTTCATTTGGTACCTAATTTCTTCTATAGTGATAAATATGAAGTTTACAGCTATATCTTTTGGTCTAGTTTTGACATTGGTAGTGCTGTGTGATTGTTAAAAAAAAGTTGTTTTAATTCTTTTTTATTATTATTGACAGGTTCTTTTGTTGGTTCATAAAGCAGAAGGTGGCGATGGTTCAAGTGGTAGTGGTGGTCCAATTAAAAGTGGTAAACGTATTCGTAATCGAGGAAGCGAATATGTGAGAAGTAATAAATACGATGTTTCATCTCTCGTTGGCGATTTTGGCAATTTTAATCTTAAGGAACCATTAGACGATCGTAGATTGGAAAAATGTAGAAGAGATATGTATGTTCATTGAATTTGTGAACATTTTTTTAGCGGAAACTAATTTCAATCAAATTATTTTAGAAAACGCAAGAATATGTCAAGCACGTGAGTATTTCGGTTTTAATCAATTTTGACAATTACTTCATTGGGTTGGTTTCTTATCGATGTTCACTCAGAAAGTCCAAGGAATGAGAATTAAAGATTTTTGTCGGTTTTAAATATAAATCAACATGAAATTCGACTTATCATGTATTTAAATCATTTCTGAATGTTGTTTGATTCACCTCACAATTGTTATTATTTCTTAAAATAATTTCATCATTTGCTTTTTTAATTCCCTTAGACTTGCCTATCTGGGCAAGCTCGGAACAAAGGAGGCAAAATTGGCAGTTTTGTAAGAACTTTTTAGAGTTTAATTTATAAAAAACACGCTACTAATTTGTTTTTTTTTTATGTGATCATCAGAAATGAGGTGTACCAAATATGGGGGTAAGAATTATTAACTGAACACATTTAAGCTTGATTCGAAATTTGATTTGTGTTCTATTTATTAAATTGAAGTGATGATATGCCTGCATCCATTAAACCAGTGTACGACCAATTTAAATCCATGTACGAAGGAATGTAATAGTCAATTAATTGAAAGGTGACACCATCATTAAAGAAGTCAACATCAATGAAGTCTGGTGCTTTCTAAAACACCCTAAAAATTGTGTTTTACATTAAATTTGTAACAAAGTGATGTAATTTCGTAAAATCACCCGAATAAAAAATTATGAATATGTCGGTGTAAATAATCACATATTATTTTCAACCTACTTTCCTCAAGACTTAGATTTACATTTGGAATAATAATTTACTTGAATAGGATTCGAAGTAACTATGAGTATGATGGACTAACTTGTAAATAAATAAGTTCAATTGAAATTGAACCTTGTTTTAACTTTCATTTAGTTCACATTTTCTCTTCAGATTATTTTACATGCAATAAAAGGAACAAAGTTGAAACCATACAATACATCTTACAACAGGAAAATGTTGGCACCATAACGCTTTAAGCTTGAAACAATCGATAAAGCGTTCATGTTTCCGTGACATTTGCATGTCTAATGAGCAAAGTCAAAGGTACAACGTGTGCGTGCGTTCATATAAAACACATATGAATTTAAACGAACCCATTTTTTTGTATTTTTCTGGGCTTGCCGCTTTTTTAAATATCGATTTGTATTTTTTATCATACGGCAATGGTTAAAAAAAGTCGTCAAAATTCGATGTTGCATGATAAATATCGAAATGAGTGAAAATATTTTATTCATAGCATTTGCATTGAAATTCAACAAGAAATAAGTTCTGCTACTGTAACACAGTTTGGTAATCATCCAGAACGCTGATCGAAAATATAAAGATAGCGAAAACAAAAAAATATATTGTTGTGAAATGTGCTTTCTTACCATTAATTCACGCCGCAATTTATCAAGTTCACGAGCAGCTGGTGACGTGCCGTTCAAATGTTGTTGAATATTGGTCGTTCCATTATTATTACCATTGATGTTCAAACTATTTACTGTAACAGCGCCATTTGCTTGATTCAAAGCAGCTCCGGCTGTTGTTGTTATTAAATTCAGTGGACCACGTCGATCTCGTCGCAATTCTTCCAGTTGTTTTGTCAATGCATCGACCTTTGCGACAGCCAAGCTCAGCTCCTTCTCTTTTTCACTGAATAGAGCACGAATCGAATCGAGGTCATTGCCTGGATTAGGAATGGACAATAAAAGAAAATAAAAAAATGCATTGGTTAAATTGGATTACAATAACGAAAATGAAATGAAATTTCAAATATATTTCTATTTCGAGACAGTTTCGAGAAAATTGGATTTCTTTTAATGACGCATTTTGCATTAATGCATAGCAACACACATTATTATTATTACATGGTTGCAGTAAACATCATGCAGTCACATTGAATCAAACGCTTTATTGCTTTGCACGTTACACACGAAATTCGGTAGCTTAAGTCTTCATACATGAATATTGTATTAAATCTTGAACATACACATCAAAGCATATGGTGCTAGAACTCGGTGAGTTCATATGATAATCGAATGTACTAACGTGCCGATAGAAGTATGGAGGAATTTTCTTTTCTTTCTTTCTGGAATATCATCTCTTGCCAAACTACAATTAATTGAAATGAAAAACTTTCAAAAACTCAAAACTAATATAGATCGGGAATGTGGTTTTCATTTTTATTTGCTGTGAATCTTAACGTGGTTAAATAGAAGCAAATAAATTCCATGGAATTTATTCAATTTCCTTCATATCACTTAAGCTCGACTGGCGCTCCATTTTCACACGTACGCATGAACGAATATTCATAGTATCACGTACACATGCTAAGCTCTCTACTTTATTCGTTGCCTTTTGCGCTATTGCATTTTTTTCTTTTCTTTTCTTTTCGTTTCGTATCGTTTCCAAATATATATAGTGTTAGACATGTATGGCGTGACATCATCACTCTATTTATTTGGTTCGTGCTGGTGCCGCCAACAAATCACATCTATTATATGAAAAATGGTATGGTATAAACACACATGAAGAGCAACACGAACAACAACAAAAAAGAATGCTAGAAAGAGTTTGACAGAATGAATTGTCAAGAATCTACTGAACGGAAGTGGTATTGCTGTAGTACTCTTTTTTTTTTTGCAGAACCATTGCCACAGATGTGCGGTAAGCTGTAGTTGATTCACTAATTTCCAGGATGAGCGAGCACATTTCTTACTAACACGTTCATTCCCACGATAATTTATATTGAAATGATCTTGTGCTCATCACACCCGCACTCTTCGAAAATGTCTTGGGGTGCGATTGTTTTGTTTTGTGACTTTGGTGTGAACGGTGTGAGCTATTTCACAATTCACACGCTGCACAAATCGATTTTCCATGGAGAATCAATAAGACAATCAAATCGCTCTGAATTGCTTAGCTTAGCTGAATGATAATGAATTCTTCAAGAGCATTATATACTCATTTGTGTCGGTGAGTTTATTCAATTCATCTTCACTTCAATCAACCCAGTTATCTGCTGCTTTACGGAACTTTAGATAACATCATCGACATTTCATTTCCATTTCCATTTTCGATTCATTCATTTCACGCAAAAAATAAACACATGAACCAATTCTTCTCGCTTTTCTTTTTTTTTTTATTCTTTTTAAATAAAAAAGGAAATTGTAATTCGACTTGCGACGAAGTTTGCCCTGGTTGTGACATCGATTCAGTTCTCGGATGATTTCCCACCCTGCGCAAAATGCATTATCGATAAACACTTTTAGTGAAGAAAAAGAGAAAAATTCAACTTATCAGCAAAGCATTTGTGTAATTAAAAAGTTGTGTCATTAGCGCGTTCGCGCTATCTCTCTGTCTCCCTCTTTCCTGCTCTATTTTTCACCGATTCTGCAAAGCACAAAGCAATACATGCTGCGAAAACGATGCTTCTTTCATTTGATGGAAGACGACAACCGAAAGAAAGCAAAATACGAATTAAAAAGAGAGACGTGTAAAAGCAAAGTGAACAGTGAAATAGAGAGAAAAGTACCGAGAGGAAAACAATGTTAATTAATCCATTTAGTTTAAAACGAAGCACAAAATACTTTGATACTGGTGAGATGCAAAATATCATGGACGATGATACGAAATACGAATTTAGCAAACGGGAAAACGAGACATTAAAATGTTGTAAACGATTTGAATTGGAAGAAAATCCGAATGAGAGTTACAAATTCGCTTCAGAAATTGATTATTAAGTACATTTAATGCGATTTGATGAAAACATGAATGGAAAAGGGAAAAAAGGCGTAAAAATGCTGGTCCTCGTATTTGTAACAACTTTTCAAGGGCTTATGCTTGAAAATGAGGAAACCTTCCAAAGTTTAAACAAAATAAAAAAAAGAATATTTCGTCCCTCATATTGATAAGAGAAACATAAAAAAGCAGCACTGCGCATATAATTGCAGGCAAAGTCAATATAAAAGAGCATATCTTTCAGTTTTTAAAATGCTTTGCTTTTGACGTAAATTCATCAATTTCCAACGGTCTAATTCGAATAATTTTGACCCACTCACACTAAGGCTGTAACATTTTGTTTACCTTCTGTGTCAATATTTATATACGAACGTTGAGTTCATGCTTCGGAAGGTATTGCACCCAAATGAATTTCGATTAATTATTGACATTGCTTGGAAATGGTGCTGAATTGCGTTTTCAAAAACATACACAGCGTCTACATCATATAACGAAAATAGACTGAAATCGGTCCCAAAGCTTTTGTGAAATAAAATAGGTTTGTATTTTTTTCTTTTGCTATTCGAAATAGCCTTTAATGATGTGTTGATATGCGCGAGTGGGGCGTAGTAAAAATGCTGAAATCATGTCGACAAATTGCGTTCAACACAAAAGTCGAAGTCGTACAATTGGATTCAGATACAATGTCATGGCGATTTGAATACAATTGATCAACGTATGCATTTTCATATTCATTGTTGCCTCGCGATGGATTTTGCATGGGTCATTTAGAATTTTTGTGCTATTATTAAGCATCAAACTGGTTTTCACCGATTGTTTTCTTTTTTACCAATTTTTTTTTGGTCATTGTTCTTGACTGAATTGTATTGCTGCCATGGTTTGTTGATTGTTTGTCCATGCCTTTTTAAAGTAAATATTGATTTTCTCAAGCGAATGACAAAACTGACATGCCATTCAATCGTTGAAGTTTCAGTGAACATATGTCGATAATGCTTATGGCTGTTGGTGTTGTTCTTGTTGTTGTTTGAGTTTAATGGAATGTTTTGTTTGTGTTTAACACACGTGTACAAGCGGAATGGGAACGGGAGTACGACAGTGTGTTTATCTTTGTTCGATCAATGTGACGTAACCTGCACTTGAGCACAAGCGGGCGTCAGCCGAATGTCATCAGCATGTCGTTGATGGAAAGCACTGTGCGTCCAATATTCATGTATTATAATATTCAACACAATTCAGTGTTTCATGGGTTGACAGCTTGGATTTCCTTATTGTTTTCTTAAACAATAACTGCAGGCAAAATGATGATACCACGGCGATAATTTGATGGAAGTGATTAATTGAAAACATCAATTCAATTTTCAAGTTTCTTTTACAGAAAACGATCAAGCTGTGTGTGTGTGTGGAATCGTTTTTTCTCTTTGGTTTTGCGGCAATCCCTTGGATTTCATTCCCATTAGAACACTAATTTTATGTTGTACAATTTGAATGATGAGTGTACATCAGATTTTTCTTGCTTCTTGACTTATTTGGAAGTGCGAAGCACATCAACCGAGACCGCCTCGTCGTTCTGCTACCTCGATGCCTCATACTGAAGAATCCAAAGTGTAAACATTCGCAATTACACTCTAGGCCGTCTATATAGATGTGCGAGAGAGAGTGTGTGTGTGTGTGTGTGTGTGTGTGTGTGTGTGTGTGTGCGTGTGTGTCGGTGTGTGTAATATTTTCTTTTAATTAATGCGATGCATCACCTATTCCGTTTCATTCATTATGGCTTTTATCTAAGCGAACGTCGACAAACATTTGTGAGTGTTACATAGCGATGGAGAGTGTATAAAATACACTGCCAGTTTTTGGCCGTAGAGCTTAATGTGAAACGTGGAACCGTACTACTAAGAAAAACAAACTACTCGACATTCATATTTTGAATTTTTTGCCACAATTTTTTTAAAATAAATTACACCTTGAAAATTGATTTTGCCAATATTTTCACTAATTTGGCCTCAAACGGCCACCTGGGAAAGGTAGATTGATGCTAGTGATATGTCATGATACTATTGATCACGTGGATGACACATATATGAGATTGGAGACTTTTTTATGCGAGTCTCGCTAATCAGCGCCATCATACCTGACATCCCTCAACTAAATTTACATCTCTAGCATGTAAACAAATTTGCTCTATGTAACGTAACACAAATGCACATATTTATTATTTATTTTTATTTTAAATATATTTTTCCTTTATAATAATAATATATTTTTTAAATTTGATTTTATTTGAATTTTTGAACAAAACTATTTTTTTTTTTTATGATGAAAATGATGAAATATTATTTTTCTCCGACGTCTCCAACCAAATTTACGTAATGTATTTTACGTATTCATGTTTTTGACAAGTCATTTGTCAATTTAGATTTATGACATTTGAGAGCCTGAAACCCAAAACAAGTTATAAAAATTCTTTTCGGAAAAAAAGCATAAGAATGTATTTTAAATGAAAAATACGATAGAAAAAAACTGAGAGTTAAAAGAGCACATACAGAACTGAGAGCTAAAACAGAATATAATTTCAGTTAGCGACAAAACAAACAAGCGATATGTTATATTTTAACTCTCAGTTTTTATTCTTCTCATTTTTGCTCTGAAAGTAAATATGTTTTTATTTGACTCCGAAAAATATTATATTTAGCTTTCGTCACAATGCGTTGCATTTTTTCTCTTTCATGTAATATGACACGAGATTAACTTAGTGAATTGTTTGTCAACATTCTCTCTTTCAAAAATGATTTGGATACAACGAGGCATCTTTTAACTTTCGCCGTTTTAATGTGTGATCGAAGGAACAGCGTTTTTTACTCCAGTTTGATTTTAAATACTACGAATTGAAAATCAGTTTTTGTTGGAGCACATCAATTTTGGTGCAGTACTTTCCCGAACTCGTACAGA